GGTGCAGCTGCTGAGAATTATTTTTGTTTCTTAACCGGATTGGCTAGTGTCATTGTTATGTGTGCAAAGCATAGCCAAGTAAGGAAAACTTAATTTTAATTTTGTAAGTTTTTTATCAAGCTTGCTTAATACTGTGCACAGCAAACAACCTCAAAATGTTGTTCTTATTGTTTATTGTATTTATTGATTTATTGTATTTTAATTATTAATCATAATATTTATGTTGAAATTTGGAGTTTTTATCCTTGTGGTATCGAAAATGGTATCGAGTATCCAATATTTTCCTTTGTATCGGTATCGAGTTGAAAAGTTTAGTATCGTGACAACCCTAATTGCACTACATCTTATTGCAGTTGAGATGTTCTAAAAATGTTACTGCCTAAATCTTCCAAATACACTGGTGTTGTCTTATTGGTTCAATGGTAAACTTTCCAAATGAGAAAACTATACAGAAATGTATGTATTCTTTAACTTAAAAACCAAAGTGTCAATTTGAATGTAAAACTTAGTGATAGATACAGTTAAGAGAAGACCATTTATTATAAATTTGAAAAACTTGGTAATAAAAACGTGTTATTACCTTTTTTTTGCCGACAGCTATTATTCTAGTAACTGATTTCCGCTGGCTACAATTTTGGACTCTGTGAACATTTAAGTTCTGACTTTAGATGCCAATGAAAGCAGGAACCACCAATTTTTTGTTCCCCGATTCAGTTTTACCATTTAATCTGCTCGAAAATCGGATCATATGAGGGTGTTGAAACTACGCCTCATTGAAATGTGTGAATCTTTTCACACTGCTTGTGATTCTCTGCAGCTATGCTTACTTAGTTCTGACCATGGTACAGCCATGGTTTATTTTGGTTGGACCTTTGCCGCAATTTGACTGGAATGTTATTAGTCAAAAAGGAAGAGATATAAAGAAAGTAAAACACATCTGCTTTGGGGAAAATGGTAATTTCAAATCTTGCAAGATAAACTGGTTGGTAAAGAAATATAAGTATTTAATGCTAAGTACAAAATCAAATAGTGAATGTTAGAATTAAAGGTATAGTGGAGGATTTTTGCGAATTTTTTAAATAGAACCGCCCTCTCCACTTTTAAAAAGAAATGCACATGGACAACCCTGTACCTGCTTCTGATGCTGCGTTCACACCAAAGGCAGCAGGAGCAGCAGAGCTGCTTCAGCTGCGCGGTGGAAAAGTGGGTCTGATGCGCGTTGGTCGGAGCTACCATATCCTTTCTTTGCCTGGCAGCTATATTTGCTGTGATCAGTGGGAATAAAGTAGTTTTAACACCTGAAAACTTCATCTGTGCAGTCAGTTCATCCAGATTACCATCGTGCCTTCAAATATTATTTCTGTCGGAGCCGCTCAGACCCCCACATACCGGCGGTGCTCTGTCATTGGAAATCCCATTCAACAGCAGCCTATGGCCCGGTTGCCTCCTCGCAGTTGGCCGCGGCGGCTGTTAAGTGGTTTCCATGTACGTAATCCAAACTGCAGGCACCAGGATAATAAACATTTTACTGCACCTTGTTGCGCATCAACCAGTGACTTTGCTTGTAGACTAGCTGCTCCTGCTGCCTCTGCTGCTGTTGGTGTGAACGCAGCATGAGAGGGAACACCTATTAAAAGCATGCACAATCCCATTTCTGCCCATTCATGCTCTGTTTAAAAGTTGCTGTTTACATCGCTCATACAAGCTAACTTTCCAAAACAAGATCGTCAATTTTTTTCACTATGTCAGCCTCACCACCAGTAAGTGAAAATGGGCACAAGCATGTTGGACAGCTTTACGTAAACACCAGAATTATTGACAATTAGAAGGACACTTGTTTTAATGATCAACCCAGAAAAATAACATCCTCCATTAAATTTCCATTAAAACTGATTGACAAAAGTAGCCAAATTTATCACACAATCAGACAATTGGGATATTGTCTTGAGATATCCTTGTTTGATGCAAAACTGCTTTGGTTCATGTAGACCATCAGCTTCTCTAAACGGTTTGCCACAAATGCTATTCCAAGCCCTTGTGAAAATTAAGGGGGAAAAAAATCTTTTACAACCACATGACTCTTATTTTATTCAGTCGTTGTTGTTTGGTTATCTAATGAGATGTTAAGACATGCATTCGCTATCACCTTAAATTATGAAGGAGTAAAAATGTAACTTTTTTTTTTCTTAGTGTTAACCCGTCGCTTTGTTTCTCTTCTGTCAGTTTTTCTGACCTGCATGTGAGGCTCTTTTCAGCATTTATTTGCTAAAAAGACTGAAGAAAATGGTTATTGGACCTTAAGTTGTCTAGACAAGGGAAGTATTTTTGTTACTCAAGTCAAATGAATTTATTTCCGTTCAAACCAGGCCTTTAAAATGGTAAGAATAAGAAGAAAGCTTTAATTGGTGAGTTTTTTTTGCAGCCCTGTAAATATGAGTTTTAGGAATTACACTCCTCACTTTGGAAAAAACTAAACTCTGTAATAATAAGTTACAGATTCACTTGTGGCGTCCATGTTGCAAGAAGAAACCTTTTAAGGATAAACTCAGTCATTATGATTATTTTCCATTGGGGTTTAGATTAAAGTACACCCTTAATTTGCCAAAAACAGACACTTTTCTAAAACCAATGTGAATCAGCATTAGAATTCCAGACAGAATTCACCCAACTACACCACACCTATGTGCTGCAGTAAAAAGAGAAGTCTACTGAATTATTTAAATTACTATTTAAAACAGTTTGGTAATCATTTCATTGAGAGCAAATCAATATGGTTTCTAAGTATGATTGTGTTATTACAGCTGCTGACTCCTTTAGAGCATGTCTCTATCAGCCTTGACAATTATTGGGATTGTCCATTCTTTTTTTGTTTGTGTGCAGTGAAGTTTGTGGTCATAATCCTACAAAATATAGGAAAGCTATCAGATATAGATACTGCGACTGCTGGTAAATACTTTTGTGATCTGGTTGATGGAACATGGAGCAATCTAAAAACCTAGAGGCGGTTCAGATAAAAGCATAATATAGTTGAAAAATCCTGAGTCTTTTGTAATAAAAGAAAAAATAATTATACATCACAGAAAGTTGCAGGAAACCTTTATTTCTTCCCAGCATGTGCTGTCTGAGCTCTGTAAGACTGATACTAACAGAAAGAGAATGTAATCAAAAAAGTATAGTAGCATGTATTTCTCTGAAAGCATACTCAAAGGAAGATGCTGCTATAGTGTACATTTCTAGCTCTGAAACCCCAAAAGAATGTCATTCTTTACTGCATGTTATGGTATAAACCATTTAAATCATATGTGATCTTAGTCCAATAGATTGATCACTTGTATTTAAGCATACCTAACATGGGAAAATAGAGAAACCTGTTCAGCTTCAGGAAGAAATATTCTTTTGACTTCTACTGTGGATATAAAGTCAGAATAACATAATATAAACAAAACAGCCTGGTTATCTCATAACAGGCATCGAGGAAAAAACAACCAGCTTCCCATCATCGTTTCTTAAAAATGGCTGCAATGGTTAAGAGATGCAAACCAGAGTCAGTTCCTGATAATTTAATTGAGGGGGTTTCGTGTCCTACTGGCAGTCTGGAAGTGGCTATAAAAGAAAGATGAAGTTCTAAGCCATATATCAGTCAAAAACCTGGAATCATAGGGAATGTTCTTTATTTTTCTAATTTTTGATGATTTCCACTGGATAATATAATAATTCTTCCTTGTAGCAATGCCTTCTTTTGGCCACAATGATTGCAGCCATTTTTGCCTGCGAGTGCAGCTGACCGTCAGACATGTCGATTAAAACAAAAAATCTTCACCTGCTAATGGCTTTTTGAGTGGTAAGGATTTGATCAAGACTGCCATTTGCACATCTTCCATCCATACATTTGTATGTTTATGTTAAGATCATCAGCAAAGAAACACACTCAAAAGTTTGCACAGATTGTGCCATTCATGAACCTGGTTTGCTGATCAGCTTTTGACAAGTACCCAGTTTGCAATATGTTTTTATATGTGCAAACCTTTGAAGAGAACAACACCCTGATTTACTGTTAGCAGAATGTTGGGACTTGGAATCTTCTCCCACACAAGAGCCATAAGAAAATGTACAACTAACTAGTGTTTTTTTTTTTGTCCTTTATACATATTTCTGTAGAAAATGTCTATATAAATATGAAATGAAGTAACTAATGTCCAAACAGGATATAGAAAAACTCATACATGCATTTATCCTTAGTAGAATTGATTACTGCAGCAGTGTCTTCATAGATTTGCCTAAAAAATCAGACAGCTGCAGCTTATACAAATCGCTGCTGCTCATGTTGTCACTAGAACTAAGAAAGTAGAACCCATCGGCCCGGTCTTCACGCTGGCTCCCTGTAACTCAGAGAATAGACTTTAAAATCCTTCTGTTCGTTTAGAAATCGCTAAAAAGATCAGCACCTCAATACATAATAGATTTGCTGTCAGTGTATCAACCTCTCAGAACACTCAGGTCTTCTAGTCAAAGCCTACTCTGTACACTCAGATTTAGAACCAAACATGGGGAAGCAGCATTTAGTTTCTATGCTCCAGTGGAACAAACTCAGAGAAGACTGTAAAGGTGCTGAAAGCCTGAGTTCTTTTAAGTCAAAATTAAAAACCAATTTGTTTACAGCTGCCTTTGACTGTTGAAGTTAACATTTAATTGAGGTATTATTAGTCTATGGTTGTGGTTGAACTGTTTTATCTGCTCTACTAACTGTTTTTATGTTCTTTTTTTATTTGCTTTTATTCTGTTTTTATTTTTCTATTTTATAGTTTAATTCATGTAAGGAACCCTGAATGTCCTTGTACTGAATTGCTCTGTACAAACAAACTTGCCATGCCTTCAATTGAAGTCAAATTCCTTGTTTGAATGAAATATGCTGTATAAAGCTGATTCTCATAATATACCGTAAAATGAGATTTAATTGTCTTTTAATAATCTTTTATTGCTATGTCTTTCTGTTTTTGCAGATATAGATGAATGTTCTTTTGACCGGGCCTGTGACCACTTTTGTGTCAACTCCGCTGGCAGCTTTCAGTGTATTTGCAATAAAGGCTACGTTCTCTATGGCCTAGCACACTGTGGAGGTGAGCCAGGACTTTCTGGGAGTGAAAACCTCCTGTCTTTTATTTTTTTTCTGTTTACTTCATAAATGTTTCGGGGGAAAAAAACTATTCACAAAAGGTATATATTTAGATTTAACCTCACAAACATGATGCTGCATGTAGATGTCCATGGTTAGGGGTTGGAGGAGCAATCCTGAATTTAGAACCAAAGTCTCCATAAAGAGGAGAGACTGGGGCTGATCAGAGAGCAATCATTCACTTACTATAGTGCTTATGGCAAGATTGGAGACAGAATAAAGGTTGGCAGAACAGCTGCTAATCTGCTGGGTACTGGAAGAAAAAACAGAATCTAAAAGGGTCGAGAGGCTGAGAGTAGCAGTAACAGAAAAAGTGTCTTGAAAAGAAGGGTTCTTTAAACATAAATAAGCTTGGCTGGAAGGGCTACAAATGATCTGAAACAGAGAAAATAAAAGAGTCTGCTTAAAGCATAGCCAGCAGGTGTGGACAAAGAGAGAATCAGCTGCAGAGCTGCGATGCTGCAACCGACAACCTTTAAAACCAGAAGGCAAAAGCATGAATGTTGCAAAACATGATTCATCTGTAGCGCTGTTATGTGCATCATGTCACATCATCGCCCTGGCTGCATTTGAAAAGATTTCAACACTTCACCTGAAGAACAGTCTATTTTCTAATTAATGGTAGAGCCTCATTCACACACTTCAATTTATATCTTGAAGCCTTTTGTGTGTTGCAGAAATTCTCACATAAGGTGGAGCAAGTTTAACTCTTACCTTTGAAAATCTGGACAGGTGAACAGGATGAGAGAAATTCGACAGAATAAATGGCATCATGGTCTCCCTTTTTGCCTTAAAGTCTGCATGCCAATGAGGCAGAGCCATGACAGAGCACTTTAAGGTTTTATAAAGAAGGCTGACATTGAAATGAGCTGAAACATCATATTTTATATATTACTACTGCTAAAGTTCCCTGCTTGTCAAGGAATCACATACAATTTATACACCAGCTTTGTTAAACATACGGTAAATCGTTTTTAATAATTTTGGACAGTTGAACAAATTGGTATTAGATTTTTTCAGAGTTTTAGAGGACCACAGAAAACTTGGGTTCAAGCAGTGATGAAAATATTTCAAAATAGTAGGAAATCTAATAGTAAAGGTCAGGTTTTTTAATAGTTTTCACAGAGTTTGAAGTGCCTCTTCAGCTGCAGCTGGATTGCCTTGTAATAAGAAGAGGTTTTCTTTGTATTCACACACAATGCTGTATTCAGTTTTTCAGGTTTATTAGGTTCATGAGATCCGTTCCACAGACCGTAAGCTGTATTAGCTGTCAACTCTGGGAATAAATGCCCCTGAATTGGATTTGTGAGGCTTTTTCTCACCTGATGGACGGCAATCAGGGCTGAGAGGAGTGAAGATGGTCTGCCGTAAATGACTCTCCATCCCATTCTTGAGCGAGCGGTTGATGAATGATTTCCCCCAACTTTTCAGTGCTGCTGTCCGAACTGTTAGATAACCCCAGAGATTTATGGCACTCCCTGTTGTACTTTCCTCGTTCCTCGCCAAAGCTAAGGTTATGTTGTTCCCTTTGCAATTTATGAGCTGAAATATAGCCGCCGAGAGGAGCTGCAATATGTGTTTAACAATAGAGGCACCATTAACAAAATCCCAATGTGTCAGCAATCCCCTATCTAGCATTTTTTTAAGCTTGTCAAGTTTCTCTTTTCACAGCAGTTCAAGCTTAGACACATTGTATTGATTGACTCTGTTAAAAGGCATTCATAAGCTTTGCCACAGATTCTCACTTGGATATAAGACTTAACTTTGACTTTTCCATTTAAAATATAATTCTGCTTTAATCTATATCATCCTGTTTTAGCTGAACTGGTATATTTAATGTTGTCATAATCTATAATATTTTATAATCACTAACTGGATTCCTTCCAGTATTGCTTTCTTTATTTATCGCTTCTTTTTTTCTGCTAAAGAAAAACATTCACCCAGGATGATACTGCCACCACCAGCTTTTAGCTTGGAAATCTTGTCTTTAGGGAGAGTTTTAGTTTTCTATCACAAGTCTGCTTTGAATTCAGGCCAAAAAGGAGGTTACATTTTGCTTTAATCAGATTTGAACAACTTCTTCCCCATATCAGTGTCTCCTGCAGCTCCTTTCAGGGTTATGATTAAAACCCGTCCACTGTTTCTCTAATTAACACTCTCCCTGCCCCTGCCTGTCAGTATTGGTTGATGGCCATGAATTATTTTGTTCAAAGTTGCAGCATTTGTTTTTAAATGATGGATTGAGCAGTTCCTGATGAAAGGTATAAAATATTTCACTCGTGTCCTGATTTAACCCTGCTTTCTTGACCTGTTGAGTGGCTTCCATTGTACTTTTTATGGTAATCGTTCTCTAATATTTTCCTAAATCATTATTTACAGAACAGCCATACTTACACCAATATGAAACTACACACAGGTGGGTTTCATGTACTAGTTGCCCTTAATATCTTCTTTAGGGTTATCAATGTAGCATTTTAAATCATGAAATGTCTCATTTCGTTGTTATACTGCAAAGTTATTTAAAACGTTTACTGAAATAAATAGTTCTGTAAGGCCTAGCTAATAATTAATGGATGTAGATATTGCTGAGAATGTTTCATCCTTAAATTTGTGTTCTTGAGGTTTATATACGGTATAAAAAAAAAAAAACAGGACATTTTATTGAAGTCTGAATAGGATGACATCCTGATGAACTTCAGCTACTTAACCAGAAGCTCCCATATGGAGTCAGAAAGGGGTCAAATGTTTTTAAACTTATAAATATTATTTGAAACAAAAAATAAAAATAAAAGTTGGAACAGAAAAATATATATAAAATGTTGCAGTGGTAGGCGCGCATGACCCATGTGAGGATGCCATGGTTCTTGATGCGGCCGACCTGGGTTTGAGTCCGGCCCGTGGTCCTTTGCCACATGTCTCTACCCCTCTCTTGTTCCCCCTTTCCTATCAGCCTACTGTCCAAAAAATGAGCCACTATAAGCAGAAACCCACTTATTTGATACGTTGATCATTGGAAATGAATGCTGGCAGACATGGCAGTTGTAGCCGATTTCATCAACAGGTACTATTTATGGGTTAGCCACAGCATGCTGCATGCTGGGGATGATTAGTGACAGTTCCAGTGTAAGTGTCTTTAATGTAATATTTTCACAGGATTTTGCCATAAAGGCAAATAAATACTGCAGAGAACGTGTTCACTAAGTAGTTGAGTTCCCACAGTCCATGAATGCAACATGGATCGGGACGTCTCTCCAGCGCTGCTGCAAGCTGTCAATCACGTTTCCCCGCCCACTCCTGTCAGATTGGGGTCAAAATCTGAATGTGAAAAAAAAAGATTTGAAAGTGTAAAAAGGAAGTGAAAGTAATGGATTTGAATTTGAAAATATAACATCTACAACTGCAATAAAGAAAAGAAAAAGTTTAATTGAAATGCTAAACTGAATTTAGATTCAATTCTAATTATTTCTTTTTTGCTTTTTAGTTTCTCATATTATTAGGTAAAAATTGCACATTAAATATCAACTTATATTTTTTCAGTTTAAACTAAGATTTAGAAATTTACATACATTTTGACCCCTTTCTGATTCCATAATACCATGCCTTTTACTTTGGTGTCTAAATGTCTTTTTGCATTTTTTTTTTTTTTACGCTGACATGTTTCATCTATTTACTCGTTTAAACACTGATGACCGTCTGGAGAAATGTTAGAGTAGAACATGAGAGGACAAAAGAAATCAGGTGGTGTCAGTTGAGCTCTTCTCCATCAGATATTCATTAAAGGTCTTTGTCCTTTAAATTGAGTGCTTTGATGCGAAGGATGAACAGAGAAATCCTCAATGTTTTCCAGCAGCTCTGCCTGTTGATGAAGTCATCATCTCCTTCAGAGAGGAAGGCAGCAAATCAGGCTGTTTTTATCTTCCTATAGTAAATAAATCAATGAGACAAGGAAGAGCTTTTCATATCAGCAAGCTAGATCATCAATCACCACTATTATCTCCGTCTCTTTCCTTGTGTGTGCGCCACTTGTCCGTGGCCTGCTTCAAGAACTCGGCTTTGCTCTGCGAGCTTATTCTCTGTCAGATCCTGATTGCAGCCAGACTCCATCTGGATCCCGGGTGCTTTTTGCGGTTTTAGCTCAGCATGTGTTTGAAAAGGTGATTATAATTTACTGCTTACCACAAGTCTTCCTCCCCAAAGAGCCTGAAAACTTCTGACCATGAAATTGAATGTGGGTGACATCAAAACAAGAATTCACTTCTGTTTACACGCAAACACATTAATCTGCCCTGCATGCATAACCATCAAGGAGAACTGTAGGAAAATTAGAAGAAATCCTTAAAACTGTAATAAGCCTCAATTTATACAAGATCTACTGCTCTTCCTATGTTATTTGCAACACTTCTCATCACTCTTTTCCTGCTCATTTTATGCCTTCAACTCTCTTTGCCGGTGGTGTCTATTAAGTCAAATCTGTCAAGTTTGATCATAAGATGTTTTTGTCCAAATGGTTTTTCACAGATATTGATGAGTGCAGTATAAATCGTGGAGGCTGTAAATATGGCTGCATTAACACCCTGGGGAGCTATGAATGTACCTGTCCTCCTGGATACAAGCTTCACTGGAACAAGAAGGATTGCATTGGTATGTGACAACAGTGCCCCCATGTGGCCTGTGTAGCAACACACTCATCTACACAGTGTGCATCTACTGTTTACTTTCACCTGAAATTTTCCAAACCTCACTGCAACTTAAGCTTATTCATAGATCATCCAAGCTTGCAGTTTTCTGCAAATTAACTAAGCTTGACTCATCACAAATGGTTTCTCCAAAATTACATTTACAATTAACAAAAAAGAACACTCTTAATGACTACTGGCATTTCTAAATTGCTTAACCCCTTCAAAATATGTATGCTTTGATTTAGCACTGCTGATCATTGCAGTTATAATGTGATTCATAGACCACATTTCATGCCAATGTTTCTCCAATTCATTATTACCTTACCAAGGAGGTTATGCTTTCAGAGGCATCAGCCTGTCTGTTAACCTGTCTGTTTGCAAAATAACTAAAAACATTATGGACTGATTTTAATTAAATGTTTGTCAGAGGTGTCCCTCATGTAAAGTAAATATCCAGATTATGATCTGGATGCAGGGTTTTTTTTAAAGACTCTCTAAAATTGTGAGATAGGGATAATAGGTGGAACAAGCAGCTCCCCAATAAACCAGAGGGTATCAGCAGTGACTATTGACGGCCCGTGCATTGGCCTCAGAAAGTCTGGAGCTATTTTACTGAAGACAAAGACACACGAAAAGGGACATTGTTGGTTTGTCAGCAAGATCAATAGAAAACGTATTAACAGACTTTGAAGATTTTTTATTTATTTATTTTTTTTTTTTTACCAGAGGTGTGATCCAGATGATCCAGATCATGTTCGAGTCTTTAGGTCTAAGTCACAATTCGGGGCAAAGTTTGCTGCTTGGCAGAAGTCTGCGCCCTCTGAGTGTTTTTCTAGTATTCCTTGTGAATTGGTAGTTAATATAGCCTCCCTTATATCTACCAGGATGTTTTGTGCTGCCAAGCCTTGGTCGATCTTGAGCTATGCTTGGGCTATTTTAACTCTTTAAAGCTCTTTATTTACACCTAAGCTTAAGCTTCCTCTCAGGTCACATTACATCTCAGGATCTCCTGATACCTGATGGGCTCCATCATTTCTTCCACATGCTGCAGGTGTCCAGAGTAAGAGGAAGCAGTTCTGGAGCAACATGAATGTTTTTATCTGAGTCCAATGCAATGCTGCATATAACAGAAGCCTTTTTTTTTGTCTTACTCTCAAAGTTGTGGAAAAAATGGTGCTGGCTTTACTCGTGCCTGTGAGTCAGTAGGGATGCATGTGGTGCCTTTAAGTTCAGACACAGAGCCCTTTATCTTTTTCTAAGTCTAACTTTGGGAACTAAAACTTCAGTACATACTTTTATTAATTTGTCTTGAAGCTCTTGAAGCTGATAATGGCTTTCTCTTGCTGCCACCAGGCAGCTGCTGTTCCTTTGACTAAACCTGTGATATTCTCATATTTAGACTTTTTGGTCCGTTTCTTTGTCAGTTTTCCTATATGCGCTTTTTGGATATACAGTGAAATGTTTTCATTTCAAGTCTAAGTGTTTGAAGTCTTACCTCAAAAACACCCCATATAACTAATAAAGCCACAAGCTACTAAGAAATGTCTGCTCCTATAAAATATATAAAGCAGGGGATTTCATCATTTCAAGATTGGAAATATTAGTGAAAGTCGGATTGTGTGTTGAACTTGAATAAAATCCTTTAAATGTTGCTTTGATAAATAATAACCTGGTTCTTGCCTAGATAACAAATGTGCAGTTTGGCGAATTAACCTTTCATCTTTCTTCCTCAGAACTGGTGAAATGTCCTCCTGGACTTGTGGCCCCGAAGGCCACCTTAACCTGCAGCAGGACGGGCAAAAAGGAGAGTTGTTCTCTTACCTGTGCTTCCAAGGCCTACTATCTGGCAGGTAATTCATCTTGAGTCAGGACACAAACCAACTACCAGCAAACAAGAAACTTATTATCAGCTGTTTACTGTGGTGCAAACTCTTTCAGGGGCAAATAACAGCTATTCAGTCAGCTGCGGCATCCCAATTCTCACAGGAAAATCTCCAGCCAGGATCAATTCCAGCATCATTCAAGGCTGCGTAGGTTTGTTATCTGTCAGTTTTTGTTTAAATTCAAACCTTTATCAAGAACTGGATTGGATTACTGGTAGTGTTACCATGCTTCAGTGTCCTCCCACCCACTAGGCTGTGTTTGTCTGTAGAGACTTTGGCGCCTCCAGTGAAACAGAAGACTTCTTTCAAGATAAAAAATGCCAAATGTCACCTGCACCCAAAGCTGACCGGCAGGACTGAAGACAGGGGACGAATGCTGGGACCAGGTCAGTCTTCCTTCCTGTTTTTCCCTTCATACATACAGTATGTTATTTCTAAGTGCAGTATATTCAGACCTTACAAAGCCCACTCATGAAAAATTACTTCCTCTTCTTTCTTTTTTTTTCTTCTCAACATTGAAGAATTTGGTTTACATGAACATTAAACAGCCAAAAATGGTAGTTCCAGCTATAGAGAGCATATCAGATGATACAATAAGGTTAATGACAATTGTTGCATGAGTTTGTGTTAGGGGTGGAACGGTTCACAAAATCCACGGTTCGGTTCGGTTCACGGTTTCGTGGTCACGGTTTTCGGTTTCGTGGTCACGGTTTTCGGTTTCGTGGTCACGGTTTTCAGTTCGGTTCGGTATATGTTTATTGTTACACCGAAAAATAAAAAAATAAATAAAAAATTAGAAAAATTAATTAAATTTTTTTAATGAAATTAATGAAAAAAAAAAATTAATGAATTGTAATTGTTTTTAATGATTTGCGGAAACCATGGATAATTTCCGCATGTTTTGCTGCTTTGAATTTAATCATCTGGCGTATGCTCTCTACGATCTCCAAGGAACTCAGAGCAGGGGGGGACGGGAGCCACAGAGGAGGCTGCAGGCTTTGCTTTGTGCAGGCGGTCTGGGGCGCAGCGGGGCGGAGCGCTAACAGAGTATGTGGGATTTCGGGGTTAGCATGACATGTTGGTCATGTTGCTGTTAGCATAAACAAAACGTGTTGCACAATGCTTGCACACTGTTGCAATTTTATCCACAACTTTCTTTCCGCCGTCATCGTAGGTCACTCTAAATGCAAAGTGGTCCCATACAGCAGACCTATAAAGTGCTGCTGGCGCGTCTTCCAAGTCCTGTTCTTTCCCACTCGCCATACCCACACAATTCTCCACAACAACTGATTTTTTTCTGCTACACCCTGCTACGCTGCTGCGCTTCTTCTTCTCCTTGTTTACTACTGGTGGTTGGCTTTGGTCGCAGTACCGCCACATTCTGCTCTGGAGTGTAAACGCTTCACCTATGAGAAAAAGGAGCAGCGCATGAACCGAATGAAACACACGCGAACCGAACCGAGACAGTAGAACCGAACGGTTCGGAAGGTTTTCAAAAACCGTTCCATCCCTAGTTTGTGTCTAAAATGTTAGTTTCAAAATGTAGTAAAATAAGAGCCCATTCATTCAGCATGTTTCATTTTTACTTGACTGTGTCCCTCTTAGTTTATCCACAAATAACATTTATTTTATTTTGTCCCAATAAGAGTTTCTGCTGAACAGCCTTCCGGTGCTGCTTCTGTATGTTTTCTCAGTTAGGTTCTGACCAACCATCAGCAGGAACTTTTATAGCTTCACTATTTGCTTCCACTGATATATCTGACAGGCATACAGCTACAGCTTTCACTAACTCATGCATAGCTGATATTTTCAAGATTTATTTGAAATGCGAGGCTATGGCCTCGCTTTGACTTCTGTCCTTTTTACCATCTAGCTATAGAAAATCTCCCCCCAAAAAAAGCAAAAGTCAGAATGGTTTATTGGATATTGAAAATCTGACGTGCCGCTTCATGCTTTGTCATGGCACATCTCTGCAGGAGGGGGGCAGCCTTGCAGCAACTGCCAGGTAACATTTGTTAACCTTACATGCGACTCCTCCAAGAAAGCTAAAGGGCGGCATGCTCGCAATCCCTCCAACAAAGGAATTACCCGCATCACTTTGGAGCTGGAAGCTGAGGTTAAACCTGGAGACACCACAGGTAGGCCATCTCAGACCCTCCTTCTGTGGTGAATGTCACTCGAAGTGTTAGACAACATGTTTTGAAAATGATTTTTCTGAACTGAAAACCATCTATTGATCAGGGAGCTGCAATCTGAGCTGCTTGCGACAGCGTATGGAGATGCAAGTGAAAACTTATATCAAGGCTCTCAAGAAGTCCATCAACCAAGAGCGCTTTCTGATCCGGGTTGCTGGTTTGGAATATGAAGTGGCCCAAAAACTTGCTCAGGCTGCACCGATCCAGGACCACTGTGCTCCAGGCTGGGAGAGGGTCAATGGCAGATGTGGTAAAGCTGGATTAGTAACTTAAATTAATTTAGTTAGACGTTGGCACAACTGTGACCTCTGCTATTCTGGATATTGTTTTTTTTTTCAGTTATATGCCTACCAGGGTCCTACTACCATGGGGGACAGGAACGCTGTGTCCAGTGTCCACCCGGGACTTTCCAGGAGAAGGAGGGGCAGCTGGCCTGTGACCTCTGCCCTGGCAGCGATGGCCATGGGCCTGTTGGAGCCCGGAACATCTCCTCCTGTGCAGGTAAATTAGGCTGAGCATCCATCGCTGACCCAGCCTATCAATGTATCTTAATGATCTTCTTCTGTGGGCTATATCAAATGCAGGCCAGTGCCCAACTGGTTACTTTTCCAGCGACGGCTTCAAACCCTGCCAGCCATGTCCCCAGGGAACATACCAGTCAGATTTAGGAAGGACCCTTTGTTTCCCCTGTGGTGGAGGCCTGAGCACGAAGCGGGAAGGGGCCAGCTCCTTTCATGACTGTGAAGTCAAAGGTCAGATTAACATAAAAAAATCACAAATATTATATTGGACTAAACTAACATGACCAGCTTACCATTTCTAGATTGTACCCTGAGATGCCCTCTATACACTAATACAATAATTTATCATACAAGCTTCCATATCTGTAAAACTATTCAATTTGTTGTTTAGAGTACAACCACAAACTAATTGAACTAGTTTTTTTTTATTATTTCATTTGATAAAAACAAAAAATAGAATACATAATTCTTAAACTTTTTCAAACCTCAAATAAAATTGTGAAAGATATAGGAGACGTTCGGCTCTCTGTCAGTACAAAGCACTGGTTCTCTGATCAGTCAAAATAGAAGCTTCTTAAGAAAACATCACAAACCTGACAATTCATGTTCGCCGATATTCTCCATCTGGTTAGACTGAATTTAAACTATTTAAAATGGCTCATATTTATCTTTTTAAGCTGACAGATATATTTCCTAGAAGCCTTCTGTTCCAAGCTGATGCATAATTATTGAACCTGAAGGAGGTTGAATACCAATTTACTATTTATAACTACCAGTTAAATATTAGTTTGTGGCTTTCTTCCCCATTATATGGTATCAAAGTAAATTGAAAGTTTTAACAAAATTTAAACAATTACTGCATACAAATTAAAATGTATTAAATTATATCATATTAAATCCTAGTTTTGTTTTTGTTTTTTTAACTCCATGCTCCAGTCCAGTGTTCTCCAGGTCATTACTACAACACCACAGTCCACCGCTGTATTCGCTGCCCAGTGGGGACCTATCAGACTGAGTTCAGACAGAATTACTGCATCACCTGTCCGGGAAACACCACCACTGACTTTGATGGAGCCACAAGTGTCTCACAGTGCAAAAGTGAGCTGAATCATCAACGCATAATGTGTCAGAGTTATTTTTGTTAATCCTGAACTTCAGCTTTACCTGGCCTGCTTGTGTCTGTCTAGACAGGCAATGTGGCGGTGAGATGGGCGAATTAATGGGATATATTGAGTCACCTAATTATCCTGGTAACTACCCTGCAAATGTGGAGTGTATTTGGAACATCAACCCACCAAGCAAGCGTAAGATCCTGATAGTGGTCCCGGAGATTTTCCTGCCCTCAGAGGACGAGTGCGGAGACGTTCTGGTTATGAGGAAAAACTGTTAGTTTTCTCTATTAAAACCTGCAGATTCATTGGAATTAACAAATGTCATATCATGAGAGACTGATTACAAATATATGATTTATCTGTGCCTGTGCAAGGGTCCGCTACATCAATCACCACCTATGAGACCTGCCAGACATATGAGCGTCCCATCGCCTTCACAGCTCGCTCCAGACGTCTGTGGATTAACTTCAAGTCTAATGAGGCCAACAGTGCCAGAGGTTTCCAGATCCCTTATGTTACCTATGACGGTATGTAGCATCCTAACTCATCTTAGCAGACAGTTATCTCTGGCATGATGTGGCGGATCTACATCATGCCACATCATGCCATCATTGCTAGCACATCCTGTGCAAGCAATCTACAAAGTTTGGTAGCACAAATGATAAGACTTGCAAGCCAGTTTGGTTCAGTCCTATTTAGTTTAGCCGATTGCATGTGCTACTAGCAGTTTGAGAATGGCTGTAAAAGAAAGATGAGGTTCTAAGTCATACAGATGAAGGTAACAATTATTTTCACCCACCAAAACTTGCAATGAAAAATTGGCATGAGCTGCTTGAGTTTGAAACACAAATGACTTTGGGCTTTATTGAATATTTGCTCTGCACTTGCAAACTAAGTTACACATGTCTTAATATCCACCCTCTTTTTTGTTATATATATATATATATTTTTTTCGGCTCATTAAAAGAAACAACAAACAAAATAAAGAAAAGTATCATCACCAAAATCTAACATTAGACCTGAAACGTTGACTTATGAAGGAAAAAAATATAAAGTTCTACTTTAAAGATAAGGCTTCAAATTATGTTCTTTCTGTATTACATATTTACAATAATTAAAAACTAACAATCTAAGCAGAAAAAAATACTTAAAATACAGATGAGAAATAACCAAACATTATGAAAGCATGGAGCTCCCTAATCCTTTAGCTCCTTGGTCATTTGTTGAGATTTAGATCTAATGCAGTCTGGGCACAAACCTTTTGAAGATGAGGCCCTTAGAGTTGATTAGACATGATCCAGACTTGAATCTAATTAAGGACATTTGAAAACATCTAAAAATTAGGATGATGGTAAGGAAGCTTTTCATCTTTAAATAATTGGAGCTCATCAACAAAGATAAATGGTCAAATAGCAGTGGAAACATGCATAAACCCATTAAAGCCTATGACAACAGAATGATTGCTGTAATAGCAGCAAAGAATAGATATAATTATTTTCACACACTGAAATTATTTTCTCCAAAATCCATCATTTGGGAAATAGGAAGAGAAACTCTTTTCTCAGCATTAAACCTCTTAGTTGAATAAATATGATTTAAAATCTAATCTGCCAGGGGTATATGTAATCTAAGAAATTAACTCAGTCTTTTAATCCTTGCCAGAGTTTGTGTATATAATTTTAAATAGAAAAACTAAATCTCGAAGTTTGCATTGGCAACTTTTACAAAAAAAAAATAAAAAATAATTTTCCTGCTCTCAAGCTTCATGGTAATTATTTTGCTGTTGTTGGTAGTGAAGTATTACAACAGCATGGACCCCATCACTTAACTTCCTGTATCCTAACTGATACTGGACGCTTAGCTTCAGTAGAGGAGCATTTTCACTGTACAGCTTACTGTTTCAAAATGGAATAAAGTAAAGGTCTGTTGTGATTTATTAATATAAAATAAATCACTTAATTATCCATACCTAGAAACAGCTGCTATATGGTGAAAACGGGTGATTTAGAGCAGTTAAATGGACTAAGGCTTGTTTGATGTGATTCAGCACATACTTTTTATCAATCTGAGCAGGTTTTCATCACACAGTGGTAACTTGACCAAAAGCAACGTCTTGTTGAACTTTGTGTTATATTATTTATACACCTTACTCTTTAGTTGTGTATTCCTCTTTTTGGTGCTGCAAAGGTTTCTTTATCTGTGTTGCTTCTGTGTTTTCAGAGGACTATGAGCAACTGGTAGAAGACATTGTGCGAGATGGAAGACTCTATGCCTCAGAAAACCATCAGGAAATCCTGAAGGTCAGTGCCATTTTTTTCTAGACAACTGTTGCCTGAGACTGAAGAAACTATGTTAACATTGCCACATTGCATTAATAGCTTTGTTTTCTAAAGAATTGACAAAATAATAATCATTCTTTACATTTGTTCACATTTATTTGCATTTTAAGCCTATTTTATTAGGATCATAGTAGCACACAGCTGTAATGTTGCAGAAAAAAGATATATATATATATATATATATATATATATATATATATATATATATATATATATATATATATATATATATATATATATATATATATATATATATATATATTTTATATAAGTCTAAATGTAAAAACAAGTCCTTTGCAGAAACTCTTTCTCAGTAGCAATAATTACTGCAGGTCATTTCAGGTGTGTCACTATCAGCAAATCTGGAGACTAAAATCTGAGCAGCTTCTCTGTCCCATATGATATAATCCCTTACATCATAGATAATTAGTATATAATGGATCATTTTCTTTCCAGTCGACAATTTTAAAGTGATACTTTTTTGATGGATTTTGGCAAAATGAGTATTTGAGACCTGATTCCTTTTTTTTTTTGCAGGACAAAAAATTGATAAAGACTCTTTTTGATGTGCTAGCCAACCCAAACCACTACTTTAGGTACACCCCTCGGGAGTCCAATGAGATGCTTCCACGCTCCTTCATTCGTCTCATAAGCAGCAAAGTGTCAGCATTCCTGCGGCCATACAAGTAAAACCCAGCAACTGCCAAGGAACCTGATTGCAACACCCACCCGACCAGGCCCACGCCTTCTCCCTGCCTCTCCCTTAACATTCCCCGCCAAATTTTAGCCCACAGCTCTTCCAGGACTTCTTAACACAAACCTTATTAGACACTTCGCTCAGCAGACTTGAGAAATACCCTACCATTCATAGCCCTATTTGCTCTTTTGGTTTATTCTATCTGTCTCAAGGTCTGCATTCCTGCGCCTCTAGCATTTAGTGGGAATGGCGAGTATGTGAGTTGTTTCTGTGTTGTACAATGAAACCCTCGCATCAGAGAAAAAAAAAAGCCTATTTCAAACAGTAGGAGTGATGTTTTGTGTGTGTGGTTTGAGCCTGATAGAGCTTGTTATTGTGTTTGCTCCCGTTCCTTCCATTAAGTGTGACTGTTTGTGTTGTGTAAAAGTGTTGTATAACTCTGGTCCCATCTTTTGGTGTCTGAGTGCTGTCCTCAAGGAGGAGCAGTAGCTTAAATCCTGCGATTTCCAGCTCCTTTGAAGCTCCGGCTGTATTCATGAGCTCTTAGAGCCATTTTCTACTGTTAAAACAGTTCATCTGGGTTTTGCTCCGTCTGTTTTGGCGGCACCCGTGTTTCTCAGCCTTCAGGGTTATTCCTTATGGTTGTTTTATCGACACCAACTACAAAGCAAACACGCATGTGTGGTTTCGTCATTCCATGGAACCCAGCGGACGTTCGGGGGAGTAATGATAGCGAGAGAAGGGATGTTGTGATGTCTGGTGGAAACATGTTTCAGAGAGTGAGAGTAATGTCTCTGCAAGACATTATGTTTGCTGCTTCTTTTTAAAAAGGTCACTTTAATTCTTCCGCTTCAGTGTCTTTATAATTTTTTTAAACAAAGGGAAGCCCAGAATCTGTAATAGTTCTGTTTTTACATCCAATAATTGATAATCTCTCATTATTTTTCTGTGGATTTTATCGGTTATCTTGTGTTTTTATTTTAGTTTTGTAAATAGTGCAAATAAACTAGACGAGGGTTAATATCTTAATTCCTGATTCAAATATCCCCTTCACCTCTTCCCAGATCCAATCGTTTCTTTGCCCTTGAGTTCCCGCTAGTCTCAAATCCAAAGACACCCAACAACCCCCCCACTCAATCCGTTTCCTGTCCCAATAAAGACAGCTCTTCCAAAGACCGCTCAGATATGGCGGCTCGAGTAGTTTCATGCACTAGGTCTGGAACTGATCACCCTTTCTGTTTTTATTAAAGTGCAATGAAAGAAAAAAATTGTTTTGTCATGTTGAGACCCACAAGGAATTTGCAAACTGTGCTTTGGGCTGTGGTGGTCTTGCTGAAACTCTTTTGTTTTAAAACGTTCTTCAATTCACCAAGGGTAGATGCTACTTAGGCTTCAAAGAATTAGTAATAACTAAAACTAATTAAATGTGAACAAAAGAAAGGATTTGTGTGTACAGCAAAACAAATTTTAAGAGTGATAAAACAGGGTAAAATAATTTAAGTGTAGAGAAAATCTAATATTTCTGGCTCATATCAGCCTCAGTCAGAGCGATTGTTTCTCTAAATTTGTTCATTTACGTATTTACATGAGATTTTAAGCTTAAGAATAAGAAAGGGTTTGGTGGTACTGTGCACTCGGTTACTGCGCATTTTTATTGCCAAATGTTATACTTATCCAGATTTCTGTTTCTTTTATTTTTGGCCCAGTTTCAACATTTATATACAAGTTATTACAGATTTATGCAAGATGTTTTCTTTATCTGTAAGAAGATGGAAGGACCTGTTGATGGATAAGTGGATTGAAAAAATCTGAAACAAATCTCAGTGAATGAGATAGAGAATGAAGTTTAGACCTTTGAAATAAACTAGAGAAACATATTTACATAATCCCAAATTTTTCAGATTTTGTGGGATTGTATAAAAAAAATAACACTATTTGAAGCTCACATAAACCTTGTTCAGGCACTCCCTGAGCTCCTCACAGCTGGATTTAGTCAGTCAGCATAATTTTCTTTAAAGTGTTTACAATGAAATAAAGATTGGTAGGCAAAGAGGTGACCAAGACACCGTAGATAGATACAAGATAAATAAAACATACCCTCCTCTATGTATGTATTGTTTCCATTGCTGTACATAAACATCAGCTTATTAAGACACCCTAAACCACACTGAGGACAAAAGGGGAATAAGTCCTCACCTTCAAATCTGAGGGTATTCTTATCTTATCAGTTTTAATTGCTTCTTAAGACATTTCAGTTTCACATTAGACATTGTTATCAATTTATGATCATATGCACCCTCTCTCTCCACCAGAACAAGCTTCTTTCATGCATCCTGTTATTGTTGTTGTTGGTTTTACTGAGGTGTTGCCTTTAAAGCGAGAGTTTGCTATGATGTATTGGAGTTGGATAATGATATTTGCACTTGAAATATTATTGCTCATGTAAAGAAATGTCTGGTTTTTGTATTGTTTTTTTAATGAATGCAACTGGTGTTTCTTTTTTTTTTTTCTTGTAGCTTGTTTGTTCATGAGATGCTCACTCATCGTTTAGTCTGTAGAGATGATACAGTGTCAGCCGTTTGGATAAAAAGAGGGAGAAAAAAGAACTTTGTACAGAGGGGAATCAAATAGGTTTACACTTGTTTCTGCCCAAGACACTTATAAAAATAAACATACTGTACTTCAGCTTACTTTTCAATGTATTTAATGTGTTTATAAATGATTGTACACAGGACAAAATATTAAACAGTGCATTATTAAAGGTTGATTTTAACAATAATTACGTTGAAAGCTTTGCATTGTGAGTTTTAGAGAAAATACTTGTATTATCGTTTTTAGGAAAAAGTGTTTGCCAGCAGCATTACAGATTGCAGTATCGAAGTTGTTGCAGCAGATTAGCCCCTCCACATTCCTGGAACATAAAAGACATTGAACTAATCAGTGCAAAATGTTCTAAACCCATTATAGTAAAGATCCATCTCAATATCAACATACCGGTGTATATATATATATATATATATATATATATATATAGACACGCCATCTTATTCTGGCAGTTTTTATTGTCTGTGTTGTAACAAATGCAATTGTTATATAAACAAAACAATGTAAAAAAAAACTAATTTTATATAACACACATGTTCGTATTTATATCCAAGACTTTCCATTGACTTACATTTATTTTAGGGTTTTTCCCAACCCTAACCTTAACCTAGTTAATTCCCACCAAACATCCAAATTTACCCCTTAATATTACAAATGTGTTCCACTACATTAGGACCAGCCTTTGGGCCCCAAAAGATGTGCTATTCCTCAAAAGGTTTGTAAATATACCAAAAAATGCTTAAATAGGTAACATGAACAAATACACACACATACCTTTTGTGTCGCACTATCTTTGCTGGACTTTCTCTGACTTCCATTATTTTCTCACTCATTTCTATGGTCTAACCATGAACCTAACCTAAACTCAATTCATACCTTAGACCTACACCTAATCCTCAGTCATTGGTCCCCACAAGTACATATAAGTCCCCAAAATGTAGCATATTCCTTGTAAATGAACCCGACTATTTAACCAAAAAATTGCCAAGAAGGAAAGAAAAAGAAACTGGCTGTTCACAGACCACTGCATTAAACATGGATGGAAAGAGGAGTTGAAAAAAAATCTTCAAGAAAATCTGTGCAAATGACATAACAAAAAAGTTTTTGCTCTTCTGTTAAGCCACTCCTGAAGCGTCATTGTATTAATTGGGATTAATTAATTATTGAAATAATCTATCCATAACGAAAGTGACTTTACCTGAATTAAATTCAGTAAAAGACCTATAAAGCACTTTTAACTTTAAGAATTTTATGTGATTAATTAAAAAGAATGTATTGACAGATTAATCAATTAACGAAAGTATCCTTAGTTGCAACCTTATATGAGAGACAGCAGTCTGTTCACTGACTGGCATCTTTTAGCCTAAGTCAGCTGCTCTAGTATCACTTTTCTGAGCAGGTGCAATAAAGAGGGCCCAGCAGAAAAAAAACAAACAACAGAAACGCTGGGAAAGCCAGCTGAGTGGAGTGAGGTTGCGAGGTAGAGAGTAGGATTGTGGGTTCATCTCCAGAGTACGTATATACAGTATCTTTCTTAAGACATATTCTAAAGAAATTACATAAGTACTCTGATGAGGTTCAGTACACAACTCACACCAAACAGACACCAACGGCACAGGATTATTAGTGGGTAATTCATTTGCATCTGACTTGGAATGTGTCTACAGGATGACGCTCTATGTACTTAAAATTGAGCCGCCAGAATCGACAGACTCCGGAAATAAGTGTCAAAATGTTTTTAGGGAAACAGAAAAAGCCAATTATGTTATTATTATTTTTTTAAACGAATGAAACTTGCATGCTTTTCAATACAAATAGATGAGTAACCTTTAGTGAGACATGTGTCACTTATTCCCTAAACATCATTCTACTATTGAGCTATTAGGAGATGCTGATTTCTTTTTTCCTGCAGGATTTGCCACCTGGGCAGACAACCAGCATCTGGCTTAATGAATATGGCATCACTGTGTTATTGGCCAGGAAACCTCAGACATAATCTATGGACTACTTTTAAGAGGAAAATATGTGAGATTCCAAACCCAAGAATGCAGATGAGTAGAAGGCCATTATCAGAACAACCTCGGCTCCCTTTGTCTCCTCCCAATGATTCAATAATTCATTCCAAAGGACAAGAAAAACGTTTTTTTTATTGGTTTTCTTCTTTAAAAATTTATTAATTTATTTGTATTAGTTATGAACCACAATCAAAAATTACATAACTCAATCCTTGAAAAAATATGCCGCTGCATGTAAAGAATCAATAAGTTTCTCTTTTTCAAACAGGAATACAAAAATAAAATCTATTCTTTAAATATTTTCTAATCATTAAGGTGAACTTAATATTAGTAATTTGTACAGCAAAGGCTACTCACTGGGCTGACACTGGGGAGGGCTGGGAAACCACTGCCCCCCCATGCTACAGGTGATGAGCTTTGATCCAGTGAGAATGTAGCCACGTCTGCATCGAAACGAATCAATTGTCTCCCTTGGACGATAGGTCTGCTTGTTGGAGTTAATCCAGTAGGCGTTTGGAATATTTGGTGGTGGACATGTTATAACTGTGTATATAAAAGAGCTTTTGTCATTTTAGAATAAGGCACATAGTGCAGAAAGACTTATCTGACTGTGGCTTAGGTTATGAGGAGGTTAAAACCTTTGCACTGAGGAGGAGGTGAGCTCCATGTTCCATTCTTGGTGCACCATATCTCTCTCGACCCCAGAAGGGTTCCCACTTGACACCCATAGAGGATCACATTCCTGTACGTGTACGGCGGCTCATCATAGTTTTTCCTTACCGCGTTTGTCTCTGTTGGTTCCTGACATTCAACAGCTACAGGATGGCAGAAAGGTTCAGGTATTAGAAAATACAGAGGTAGCAAATGGATAGGTGTGTAGGCTGACCTCACCTTCACAGACAGCAGGACGACCATCCCAGCCGTCGCTCAAGCAGCGCCTTGTAGCCCTTCCTACCAGTATATACCTGATAAAGATTAAACAAAGAGTAAAATTTTCAGTGACTGTAAAATCCCGATAGCATGTAAGGGACTGTTTGGCTTACCCCTCATCACACACAGCTGTGGCTGTGTCTCCAAACTCTACACCAGTGTAAACAAACTGTCCGTTTAAAATCTCTCCTGCATGGCCACACAGCTTCCCTTTTAGACACAAGATATTACATTAATGTTTATTTCAAGAATGATCTGACAAATTCTAAGTGTACAGGATGTACAGGAAGTACACACGGCCTTACGTAAACATATCACCACACTGGAAAAAATCGAAATCTAGATCATTTTTTCTTAAACTAAGAGCATTTGTTCTTGGATTAAGAAGGTAAAATAGACATTTTGCCAATGGAACAAGACAATTTACACTTAAAATAAGAAAACATTGCATTGTCTTATTTCAAGTGCATATTATCTAATTATCTTATTTTAAGAGTAAAAATACTAATTCCATTGGCAAACTATCTCATTTACCTACTCAAATTAAGGGTAAATACGCTTAATTTAAGGATTTTTTTTATTTGTTGCTAGATCGTTTTTCTAGTGCAGAATGATTGACAATTAGGAGGACCACTTATTTAGATGATCCACCCAGGAAAAGAACATCCTCTACTACGCCTTTAAGTGAAAGGCCAAAACTTCACGGTAAATTTCTGCCAAAGCAGAAATCCAACTAATAAGTAAAATTATCTGTAAAATGACTTTTAATCATTTCTAAAAGCCTGTGTTAGTTCAAGTCTACAACTTGAAATGGTCTTTTAAAGAGCTACATCACTGTATGCTGCTTTACCATGTTTAAAAAGCACGGTTAATTGTTTCACAGCTTTATATGATCCGGAATCATTCCTAGCCCTTTACGAAAAAAAAAAAAAAAGCCTTTGGCATTGACTGTAAATTTTCCTACGTTCACACTTGAGCTTCAACGGCGTCCATTTTCCACTGGCACATATCCGAGTCCTGCTGCCACCCACTGGAGTATATCCCACATTACAGGTGTAGTAGACTTTGTCGCCAGAGGAAAACGATGTCATTGTGATGTACCTGTCAATAAGGTTGGCATTGGAGCTGCTGACCGTGGGTGGTGGACCGCAGCCACCAGCTGTGTATTTCAAAAAGGAGAGGGGGAGAAAGTTCACATCTTAATAACACTTAAGACTTCAGGAAGTATATTAAATGTTATAACACCACGCAATACACTTATTAAAAGACAGAAGACTGTGACTTGTTTGGGCTTCTCCGAATAAAATCTGTTTCCTTGAAAAACAATTGGACCAGATGCAGCTTTACAATCAGTCTCTTTACTAGTCTTCTTGTTACAGATGAGACCAAAGTAGGAAGCAAACATATAGCAGGTCAAACACCTTATACAAGCATGTGGGTGGAGGACTGGTGATGTAGGCTTGTTAAAGCATTAAGTTCAATCTAAGAGGGACAGTATGTGTGAGGATAAAGCTGAACGATGCAATAGAAATATCCTTAATTAACCCAAATTTTCTGCAGCATTTTTAAAGAAAGGATCCCTCCCAGGAGCCTAGTCAATGCCAGCGCTGGACTGGGATAATAAGCCACATGTGAAATAAGCCCAGGCTTCAGATTTCCCTACTGGACTCCTTCCTCTCACATGTAGTTGCTAAAGTTTTTTTGATTTAATTCGAGGAACCCTGATTGGAATTCCTGTTGCAGCAGAAAGGACATCTGGTATTCTGCAAAATCTGTGTGCAGGTTGTGATGACTAGCTGTGGGGAGCAGCCAAAATATCTAAATACTTTTAAATAGTCAATAGTCAACTATTAGTGGTAATATGACAATGTAGATTAATTACAAAATTCACTGAGAAAGAGGTAGACCTTGGGTGAGGTGTATGATGTACAAAGTTTCTGTAGAGTAAACAACTAAAGTACAGACCTTCAAACGTATTGTGGTTTTCAGATGAGCTCCAGAACCAGGCATAAGGAGCTTCATATCATGAGTTTCTACGGCTGAGCAGCTGTATCCAAGCCTTACATAACCAGGTGTAATGCAGTCTTATCTAGAGAGGCAAATCATGCTTCTCTTGCTGACATGCCAATGGATCAGTGGATTTGTACTTTGCGAAAACAGCAGTTTTCTAACTGTACCAATTCAATGTAAGGTTTGGCTCAGAAATGAATTAATGGTTTGGAGCTGGTTGTTAGGCCTGGCTCCTTGGTCCTTGGTACGACCACAAAATCCTGACTTTAACCAGGACACATCAAGGGAAAAATGTGAACCAAGCCTTCTTGTCCAAAACGGTAAAAACATATAAATAAATGTATAAATAATGTATGAATAAATACATGTATGTCCTCATAACCATTATAAGTATCAAAAAAGTGTTACTTCCTTTTTTAAAAGGGTAAATTTTAGAGGAAAATCTTGTAGATAAACAGAAATGAAAGATTTCTAATAACAAAAATAAAAGAAAAGTAATAACTGGTTAAGAAGTAGCATACATGCTTACTTGGTCTGCTTAATGACATTTGAGCTTTTTCAGGGGAGGGTAAACACTGGGGGGGCTTAGGCTGCCACTGGCCATTAGCCTCACAGATGATCTTCTCTGCTCCATCCAGCCTGAATCCGGTGTTGCAGGTGATGCTCATGGTGTCCCCAACCCGGTGCACCAAAGCTTCTCCGCCTTTCTGCACCGAGTTTTCCACCATAGGACTGGAGCAAGTTATTTCCTTTCCTGAAGAGACTGTATTCAGATATTAAACTGGGGATTAAATATTGCTCAAGCACTAAGTTTGGAGATTAACATGTTTTGGACACGTTCAATTCAAATTCATTGTGAAACTAAACTAGCTCTGTAATAGACAGGTTAACCATAGGGCAAATTCTAACAATCGGACGGCTGCAATAGGCTCACCTTGATCAATGTCTCACTACTGATGGGTTTCGACATGAAAACAATACCACACAGTTCGAAAATCCATAAACCTGAAACTTTTGTCTAGTGACCGAGCATTATAGGTCACATTGCTCTGGTGAATGATATTGAAACATGCTACAATACACTTTGTGTTCATAACATGACAAAATGCTATAAGGATAAACGATTTAACACTTTTCAAAGCAACTTTTTTTTTTTGCTTTTTGTGATTTCAGGTGAAACTCTTGTTTCTAAGTGGGGAAATATGTATGGTGCACAAGTAGATTAAAAAGAATGACACATGACTGGTGAGATGACAAAGGGGATAACAAAGATGTTGGATATCCAGAAAACAATTCAGGGATTAGATGAGGCGACATACCACCCAGTTAAAGTTGTCTTTCATTATGTTGCAATTTAAGGGTGGTGCTTTATAATCCTGCAGCTTTAATGAAGATCTGCCTACTGTACCTTCACAGGACGGGAATTCTCCAGTCCATCCAGACTTCTTACATATCATATAGCTCATCCCCTTCAGAATATATCTGTCAACATGGGAACACATTTAAATATATAAATCATTATTTATTATATTTAAGGGGTTTGTTTAGGCAAAGCTTACCCTTTGTTGCATTCGGCAAAAACTTTTTCCCCCACGTATGTTTGCCCTTCATAACGGAAGTTTCCATTGGGGAGATCCCCGGCACTGCCACATGATATTTCTGTTGGAAGTATCGGGTTTATGTGAGATAAAAGGATGGGTGAGGCTGGCATTACACAAGAAAATAATACATTATTTCTGACATCATTTAGCATTAACAAAGGTATATGACTGATTCTTAAAGCATTAAACGCTTAGTCATATAACAAACTTTGTTCCAAAGAGTATTTCCAAATACTTTAAGAAGTGGCCTATGGTGGTCTTGTCAAATCTTTGAAAAATAGAGTACAATACTTTGAAGAAGTATTTATGAGAATAATGAAATGTAATAAAATAAGTTTTAAAAAAATTGCATGGTTGCATGGAATGAAAATTAATTTACTTTGGGCTTTTTAAATACTAACTACAACACATGCCACACTTTAAGATTTTTTTTTTTTTTATTCCACTTCACAATTATTTCATATTGTTTAGGTATAAAATTTGTGGTTGCTATAGGAGAACAAATATTAAAATCAGAATTTTGAAAATAAAAGTCAGAATACTGAGATTAAAGTCAGACTTCTAAGAAAAAAGTCAGAATTCTGAGATTAAAGTGAGAATTCTGAGAAAAAAGTCAGAATTGTGAGGAAAAAAGTCAAAATTCTGGGATCCAAGTCAGAATTCTGAGATTAAAGTGAGAATTCTGAGAAAAAAGTCAGAATTGTGAGGAAAAAAAGTCAAAATTCTGGGATCCAAGTCAGAATTCTGAGATTAAAGTGAGAATTCTGAAACAAAAGTCAGAATTCTGAGATTAAAGTCTGAATTCAGACTTTTTTCCTCATATTATACTGAAATAAAATTTTAAAATCAGTTAATTTTTTTTTTTTTCAGAGGACCTAATCTTCTTCTGTACAATTGAATTAGGGAATAAATAAAATGTTCCACAGTATAAGTTAAGAGTTTGAATTTTGTAAGAGTATATTTTGCGCTATATGTCCAGCAGAGGGCGTTAAACGCTGATGAAAATTGTTCACATAGCATATTACTGCTTTTAATGATACATTTATGCTTTACTTTCAAAAGGAAAACTATATTTGACTCTTACTCTCGCATTTTAGAGTCAGCCGGCTCCACTTCCCATTGTGACACTCTACAGATCTGCTCCCCTTGGATGGAGTGAAGTCCTCTGCGCAGCTGTAGTAGACCTTCTCCCCGCTGCTGAACTCCTGTCTGGAGCTGAATTTCTCACTCAGTCGGGTGTGCGGGTATTCCAGCGGAGCGGAGCATTTCTCTGCCACCTTTGCTGTTTAGTTGTTCCATTTAAAAACACACGTTTCATTTGTTTAATTAACACAAAAACAAGAAAAAAAAAATCAAAAAACAACTGATCTAATAGATTTTACCTGCTGCTAACAAAGCAAACGATAAAACAACAAAGGTCCAAGCTGTGGTCCTCATGTTTGTCCTCTCCACCTTAAAGATATAAACAGTCCCTGGAGGCTCAGATGGAGGGATTTATAGAGGAAGGGAGGGACTACAGTAGCCTGCTGAAGGCAGCAGCCTCTGGAAGAAAAAAATAACTAGACACAAGAAGACAGAAGGAGGCAAGGCAGAGACAAAAGACATCAACTTTACTGATATATTTAAAGAAACGTTTGTAAAACTACATGTTTATGATTATTTTAATAAAAGCAGATAGGATACATGTTGTTTAAAATGTACTAACAGATCTTTTTAGTCTTGATAATTATTTTTTTTATATATTTGAAAGTTAAAAGGTTGCACATCAAAATGCTTTTTTTATATATAGATCAATGAATTATGTCGACAGACATGGGCAGTATCTGCATATATTTATTTAACTTATGATATAATGTACTAGGAGTTGTATACAGGGGCGGTTCTATACAGGGGCCAATAGGAGCCAATGCACCTTTAGAAATGGTCCCCGTTGTGGCCCCACAGTCATAATACTAAATACATTTATAAGAAATAAATTATATATGGTGCCACTGAAACCATAAAAGATATACAGGATCTCTTGGACCGGCTTTATTCTTTTTTCTATTTACAGTTTTATTTCAACAGTGCTTGAAAAATTAAGTTGTTGCACTTTTAACTTAAGTCATACTGAGATATGATCATAGGTTTATCTGCTATGATCATAGGTTTATCTGCTATGATCATAGGTTTATCTGATAACTGAGGTTTTCAGATGCGAATGGATTTTTGGTTCACGTAGCATTTCAAACAATGAATCATTCCTTTGTTTTTAGTTATATATATACAGTTACATATATATATATATATATATATATATATATATATATATATATATATATATATATATATATATATATATATAAATATATATATAAAACTCTAAACCTAACTGTTACCAAAATAAGAGGGGAGGACCAGAAACATGTCCTAACTTTATTTCAAAGGTTTTTCCATCTAATGGAGACTTTAAGAAAATGGTCCTCACTCTGATGTCAAGACAGGAGCACAAATCCTCATGTCCTGTCCGTCAGAGTAGCATTCAAAAATGTTTCCTTCATGCCAAGGTGGGGCTTAACAGATTTCGCCAGTGGAGTATTATGGCTACAATATAATGCTGCACTTGATAAATGGATATAATTCTAAGCACTATATGGAGATAATTTCAAATGCAATGAACAGAGACAGAAACAAAATGGAACAAGAGAAAAAAGGAAGAGAAAGAGATGAGGAAAAACAAAAGATAAGAATAGAGAAAAAGAATAAAAGGTAAACCCTAGTAGGCTGCTTCTTCTACAGTAAGTGAGAAGAAGATAAAGTACAACATCACAAACAGGAAAAGTATCACAGTAAAAAAAAAAAAGCACCATCACTGAAAAGTACACAACACGCATCACCAGTGGAAGCCAGAGCTAATTATAATTAATGACGTGATCATTATAAGGAACACAGGGTCATTTGTTAATGAATAGTGACAAATAGTACAGAGCATGGTAGTAATCAGAAAATAAAACCCTAATGAAAACTAAATGCAAACCCCAAAAGATCATAGCAGCAGGATCAGTGATTGACAGTAAAATTTGAATTTATTGTACTGAACCACAATGACACTGCCTAGCCTTTCATAAAATTATTATAATTATTATTTTATACCTTCATAAACAGCACGTTTAAAAAGATTCTCATGCCTAAATCCTTTTTTTTTTTTTTTTTTTTTAAGATTTTTTTCAAGTTGCAACTAAAAATGTGAACATATTTCAATGGGAGTTTTATATCATAGAATAGACATAAAAAAAAAAAAGAAAGAAAAAAAAAAGAAAATTAAGAAATAGAATTCACTGGACATTGGTTCCAAGTTTGAAGAAGTTTCGCTTCCCATCCAGGAAGCTTTTTAATTTCAAAATGACAGAAATAGCGTTGAGTTCGAGTTTTCATACAGTAGCCCAACAAAGCCTTGTTTTTGTTTTGATAACATGCAAATTGGAAGATGAGATGTTGGTTATGAAACTTGCAGATTATAGGAACCATCTTCGTTTCGATTGTTCCAATTTGCTATGACCTGGATGACTGTGAACCTTCACCAGCAGATCATAGAATAGCACAAATTAGTAAACAACTATGAAGTGGAAGGAAGACGATACATGGTTTGTGTTTCATCCCATGATGATGAAATACCTATACATCCCTGGAGCTGATAGTAGTAATGTGACAAAATAAGAAAAAGGATGTGTTATTTTACTTTAGGTAGCCATAAATGGCAAAAATATGTTCACTGTTGCTGAGGTATCTTTCAGTTTTAGCCTTTTAGACCATTCAAGCTCTTTTACCTGAACATTTTACACTACTTGGTTACACTTGGCTAAAAGATTAAATGGTATTTGAAAGTTGAAGGTCCTTTCAGGGGAACACATTGGTCCTTAGTGCTTTATATCAACACTATAAATAATCTTTATCTATAGTAATAACCACCCCATGACTATCAGACAAAGAGAGCTACAGGGCATTCATGCTTCAAGAGCTGGTTAATATATCATACTGATCTAAACAGATGGATTGGGTTGCTTGATATAAAGCTTAACAGCTCTGCACAGTAAATTCTTTATTTCCTTTTCTTATTTGTCATGACATTTTACCACAAAATAGTCCTACAGCATATATTTTAACTAGCCCAATTACTGCCATCTTAGATAAACCATGATGCTTAGCCAATGTAAAATACACTTATATGCTTACCATCAGAGTATTCAAATGACCATGACGGATATAAGAGGGAGAACTGTTTACATCTCTTAATCAAGATCCATTTGTTCAAGGACAATCCCAGGAGTCAAAATAATCTAAGATGAACTTCCAGGAAAACTGATAATTTATGTTTTCTTTTACATTTCCATTGTGACTCAAATGCTTTGATCAAAGTACTTCATTTAAATAATTTTTTTTTTTTTTATGGGGCAGCTTTGCGGTCTAAATTTGTTGTTTTTTATAGACTTAGAGGTGATACAGTTGCATATAACTTGCATCATTTGTTCTTCACAGGAAATGGGCAAACCACTGATTGTTCTGAGGTCATTTGGTGTTTTCTTTCCTGAGGGAACCAGATTTGTCTGCAGATGCTATAAACACACAGAAACGACACTCTTTGGTTTGAACCTGGTGATGCGTGTCTGGATTTCAAGTTACACCCAATGAGTTCAGCTTTTCAGGATAACTTGATTTTTTTATTTCAAAATCGGCAGTCAGTGTGCAATTACAATAAAATTCCCTTTTTTTAAAATAATTGTGTGCAAAATTTAAAGCTCTTTTTAAAAATTTACAAATATATTACTATTGTTTTCATTCATAAATTCAATTTAGCTAATTGTAGACCTTTAAATCCAAGTAATTGCTATTCTTAACAGACTCTTACTCAATTAAATAAAGGCACTGTTTCAATTTACAGATTTGCTGCAAAATGGAATTTACAAACATCAACAAAACTCCAGCATTAATGAACATTTTGACACTTCTTTGAATCAATCTGAAGTCCCTGAAAGGGTTTATATCTTTGGAGTCTTAATATAAAATGAAGGATACATTCAAACACAACACAGATAGAAATAACTGAATTGTTTTCTGACTAAAGCAAAGTTAAAGTACCTCTTGCACTTTTAAAGGGTCAGACAGTGTTTAATCCTTTTTTAGAGCTTGTGTCTGTGTGCTGAATCTAACAAAAGCAGCTGCATGAGCTTCAATCACGGTTAAAAGAGAATAATTACTTCACAGTCAGATTACAATAAGGAAGGATACACAATGCAATGGAATGTTTACAAATGAAAGTTAAAATAGAAAAGCTATCAGAGGACAAATCAAGGCTGTTTCTGCAGAGGCCGTTTTCTTCCCTTTTATACTGACTCAGTTAAAGATTATGACATTCCAAGTTTAGTCTAAAAATCTTTTTGCGCATTTGGCACGATCACAGTGCAGATAAAATATCATTCAGAAGCTGTGAGCTCGTACATATATGTGCAAAACCATGCTTAAACAAACACACCCAAAATAACACAAAGGTTTAACTCAACAAATACATGCTCTTAATACAGGAGAGGAATATGAAAGCTGAAAATTTAACCGATGATCCACGAAACTTGGACATTCACACAGGAACCAGCCTTGGTTGGTAGAAGGAAGGCATGGAAACGCTGATGTGAAGGAGACGGGTGTTTCTTGAGGTAGATTAGATTAAACTACCTCCTTATGTGTTTTTTTCTTCTGTATCTGGAGTGCTACAGCCATTCACAGGGTCCTGCCAGATTGAAAAGAGAAGGTAGAAGAGTGGAAAGCATTAAATCAAGCAACAGAACCAAACAGGGAAACAGTATTTGTTTTGACTGGCACTGAACAGGAGTTAATATTTGAACTCTGAGGGTTGTAGCCAGAGTAAGACATATTTCCTGGCACTTTCAGGGGTTTAGAAGTGCAGCCATGTTAATAAAGGTCACTTTGTGGGCAACGACACATGCAATAACACTGGAAACACTCATGTCATTTATCCTGAAATAGCCTGAATATTGAATTATTCACTTCAAAAACTTGATTCACAAACTTTAGGTAACATTCTGTGCAGGCTGACTTACTCCTCAGTTTTTCTCATCTTTTTCACGTCGCAACAACAAATATTTATGTATTCTGTTGGGAGTTTACGCTGCAGGCCCACAATATGGTTTTCTAAATCAGGGTTTTAATTTGACAAAAGTTGGATACAGTTTTAGGTGTATTAAACTTTTGCAAACTACTTTAATGGGACCAGACAGTATCTGGATCCAACAACCTGCAGCTGATCAGGTCCCTCTTTCAGTTTTCTAAGGTGGTCCCTTAAAGATATGCAAAATATGCAATGATCCATCAACTGATATACTTCTGGCCTCAGATTGATCTTTAAACAAACTGGTTAATGATGATACCATCCAATCCCTCTTCTTTGCATTATAAACACAATTGGAAATCTAACCTCACATATGTCTATAGCTGCTGAAGGTTTCTGCCCAATTTCTCTAATTTCCAAAAAGCAAACCTAAAGTCTAAAACTATATAAGCAGTTCAGTGTTCCAGGAGATTTAGCCCATGATTTGTCTGAACAAAGTGAGTGGCAAAATAAACTCCTGCAGGAATTCTGCTCTCACGGACTTCCACAAAAAATAAAAAAATAAATCTGCCATTACTTCAGCTACACAAGAACTGAATTGACTGCGGTTAACTCCTACACAAACACCCACAGGAAACCACAAGGAATACAGTAGTAAGCCCTGTCAGAGTAAAAAAATAACATTTTAAAGACTGTTTAGGTCAACTCTGATGGCCAAAGAGCCTTGTGTGGCTATAAAATTGGAATGTTTGGTGTGATGTTTCAATGCATAGGGCCTGATCAACTAAGATCCCAAATAAAAACCTAAACTGTTTTTCCAGACAAAACAAAAAAATCCCTTGCAAATAGTGGGTGTTTTGAAAGTGATCCACCACGATTGTGTGGGTCATGGATAAGTGGTCTGGACTGCTCTATTTAACTGTGGTTTTTGGGGGTGCTACTCACTGTCACAGCGAGAGCAGGTTAAATTCATTTTGTGCGTCTAAAAGACAGCCACATTTTGTAACAGCACTGTGCACAGATGGCAGGTATAATTAGTAGGTGGAGAAGATGCATTTCCCACTGTAAGAAATGCATTGCAGAAGGATGCTTCTGTCTCCCTGTTTTTCTACACACACCTTATGGACAAAAACCTCTTTATTTTAATGGATGGAAGATGTATGTTATGTGTTTATTTGCTTCAACCACTGATTATTGTGTTGATGCATAACCTGATGAAGACAAAGGCAGGTGAGAAGTAGCTGCTGCAGATTTCTTTCAGCACCACAGTTTATTGGAAAGCAGCAATTATGTGGCGACATCCAGAGAGAAGCTGTTTATTTCATGACAAAATTTTAACTCCTTATACCACAGTTCACACAAACAAAATTTCCTGTGATAAAGGAGCAAATTCTGTAGGTATTTCCATAAATCATTATTTCCTTTTTTTTTGTTGCAAGCCACTATACAACTTGATCTAACAAATGATTAAAGTATAAACAAAAAATTCAAGGACACGCAAAACACCCAAGGCCCAAAAGATAATATATATTCTACTATTTAATTCCTGACAGTCAAATGACAGCAAATGGAGGACTTTCTCTATCTAGTCATCACCCTAAATGCCTCCTTCTCATATCAATGACACCAGACATTTTTGTACACTAAATGTAGATGCAGAAATCTCAGCTGCTATCTCTTTCAAATTGCTGATGGTAAGTGATCACATTTGCATATCTACCTAATGTTTTTCATCTTCTGATGATCAAAAAGTTTGTGTCCAATGTTCCACTCATTGTAGAGTATACCTGATAATTAGAGCAGCTTTGTGTGCGTTATCAAATGTTTCTATACATGCAAATGTAATTATATAGGTCATATGTGATTTTTTTTTTATGTTGTTCTTCTTCAAATTAATTCTTATAGCCATTTTACAAATATACTCTAAAACACTGTGTAGGATAGCCTAATAAAGCAGACTAAATGTGAGATTAGTGTAATTTAGTCTGGCCCCGATGATTGAGAGATCGGAAGATTGTTGATAAGAACAACCCGTTGTTTTTCAAACCATGTCTGTGTGTATTGGCCAACGCTCTGACCAATGAGCGCAACTGACTGTGATGCAGTAAGCGCAGCAGGAAGCTGGTGGGGGGGTGTAAACAAACAGCCTGTCAGTAAAACGGCAAATACGTCCTTCTCAAAAATGAATGAGTGTAGAACCTCTTCCTGTTTACGTTTCAATGAAAACCCCTAGTCTAATCCTTCCAAAACTGATTCCAAAGCTGAGTCAAAAATCGCCATCAGAGCCAGCGGTCCTTCACACACGAATATGCCAAGAGAGGGCGGCTGCAGACGGGCTGTGGTTAGCCCTGGCTGACGTTAGCCTCGGAGGTCCGCTGGTTGACGCGGTCCTCTCAACTTGGGAAATAGTTTTTTTAATTAGGCATTAAATCGGTAAATGGAACATATAGTGACGCTTTGAAGTATAATGATCTTAAAATATACTTTTATTGAACAGCAGCATCAGAAAAGAGAAGTTTTAACTTTCAATGGAGCGCTCCATTGAAAGCTGCTGCTGCCGCAGTGAATGCTACTGTTCAATAGATGTTGCCATCTTCCTTGTTGTGCGTTCTCCAGCGTCGCACAGCTTTGTTGTCACGCACTCAAACCCCGAAACTTGCAGGCAAAAATGATTGGGTGGGGCTAGTTTACTAGTCTATGTGGCTGACATTTTGCTGGTTTAAATAAAGTCCACCTTTGCACGCTGAAAGACAACAGTAACATCTGTGATAGACACTGACCTCATTTTGCAGCAGTTCAGCTCCCTCAGACACATCAGAAAAGAGTGAGGCAGGAAAAGAAGGGAACATGTGTGAGTGTGTGAGGCTTCCCATGCTGAACAGACGCGGCCGTTTAATTTGGTCTTGGCTGGACAGCGGATCGAAGCTGTTCCTACGGAACAAAGGTGCCGGCATGGTGTTTGTTTTCACTTTGTTCTGTTGAAACAGGAGCACAAAGATGAGATTGGGTAAATCAGTCATTTGTTTTTGTGGCTAAAACAGTCAGAAATAGAAAGGTCACTGCCATATGGGTTTCAGTAGACAGGATATTCCTCACTGCAATTAACAAGAGGTTTCTCAGTTAATGTGCTTCTGGGTTAACACCCACTCTGTCTAACACTTAGCAGCCAATCACAACAAACTTCAGAAGCAGTGAAAATGTCTGCTTGTCGTTTATCAGTAAAAGAAGGCAGACAGACGTATGTCAGAGGAATGATCGGATTCATTACAATCAAAAAAGTTTTTGTTTGGAATTGTCTAATCTTGATAAAACCCAAACTTATTCTGGGATACACTCATCCAAATCACTGCTAATGTTCAATAATATATTATTTAAACAAAGCATAAGCTGATGTTTAAAATAAACTCAATAAAGGCAGTAAGATGAAAAATATAAGAAGACCTTCACACTGGCCACAGACCCATATGTTGGTAGAAGATTTAGTCTTGACTGACTAAAATTACTTAAAATGTACTTTATTTTTTATTCTAAAATTCCACGCTATAAGTCTTAATGTACTATCCCAGTTTTAAAGTATGGATGCTGTGTGGTAATATGAGTCTATGAAAGAGATGATGGAGAGATGGATAAATGCAGAAAAACACCAACTTCGTGTATGGAGATGGATGGATGGATGGATGGATGAATCGATGGATGGTTGGATGGATGGATGGATGGAGAATGAAGTCTGGAAATACAAATACTTCCATAAATATCAAGCCCTATAAAATATTTCAATTGGATGGTACCTTAGCCTGGCTGGCTGGATATCTGTCTTCTTTTAGCAGATAAGATACTGCAGGGTATTATTTTGGTTGGATTTATAACAATAGTTCTCCTGTGTCAGCAAGCTGCCCTCTGCAGCAGCCCACATTTTCCTTGAAGTGAGGCTCCTGCCTGACTGCTTTAGTTAAAATAACTTACCAGAGGTCTGTCCCTGTGAGTGTTAACAGCTTCCACTTTTAGATCGAACATCTCCACTTTACATCCTAGTAGAGGCAGAGAGAGCAAAAATGTATCACAATGAAAACAAGGAAAGATGATGTTTGATTTCCTTACAAGCCAAATGATGACTTACCATAGGCCACTGGGGTGAGTTTGAGGACAGTGTGCAGCGGACATTTCATGTAGGGTAAATCGTCTAAGCCAGAGAAAGTAGTAAAAAAAAAGAGACTTGTAAGGTCAGGCTTTGTTTTTTTTAATTATTATTATTATTCAGTTTCTCATCTTATAAATGTTTATTTTTTCTCTCTTCCTTAGGAAGGCACACCCATGCTCTGCTGCTCTGAGCAACACACTGCTGTGACTAAGTCTGCAGGGCGACATGCCCACTGGTGGGAGTATATTTAGACAAAATACCAGTCAGAGCAGAGCACAATCTTTGGTTTGCACACTCATCTAACCGAGCACAGAAATAAAGCTGTGATGATGACAACACATGCATTTAAGCTCTACTCACAAAAAGAAACTGTATGGAATAATCCTGATATTTCCCTTTGTTTAGTTTTTCCTTGTTTTTACAGTATTCACGACACATTCTTTTTACCTAAGTGTTGAGTTTGTTGTTGCTATGTAAGAACAGAGAATTGTCATTATTTAATCATATACAAATCAATGCTTTGCTTCACAGACTGGTGTGACTTTTTTGTTTCTGGTGTGAAGAATGTGGACATTAGAGCCAGTTTATACAAAGAATTATGTTTATTTTTCTATGAAAATCCCCTGACTTTAAACCTTTTATTTCGAAGTTTCCTGATTATTGCCCCTTGGGTGTTCATTTATAGGGTTACGTTTTAAAAAATAATGTAGATTCAAATGTAATAACTAAATCACTACATCAAATAGAAGTATGTATACGCAAAGACGCAAACAAAAGGTTTTCATATTTCAAGAAATAAAATAAAACAGATTCAGGGAGTCTAGTAAAAACAAATGATAAAAAAAAAACAGAAAAACTCAAATATTATGGAGAAAGTATTATTTTCTCTGCATTCTTGAGCTTTTTGCAAACAATCCCAAGATAGAAAGACTTAACTACCTGATAACCCAATCACTAAAGCCTGTTTATAATCAATTTAGAAGTAATGGGTTAACTACAAAAAAAAAATAAAAAAATAAAAAAAACAGTATGTTCCTGCCTGTAATATATCAAAACACCACCCAGTGTTATTGTTCTGCAGCAGTCTGGTGAAGTCTGCACATGACCTCAGTAAAATAAAAAACATCTCTATTAAATCGCACAATGGAGCTGTTAAAAGCTGTTTTTAGCAAGTTACAGACTTTTCTAAAACTACGTCCACGTCATTAAGGTGCAGCTCTTAAACCACAAAATGTCTGGTGATGTAATGATATTCAGCCCCTCTTTTTACACAGATGTTTGGCTTTTCATCTGTTGCAGTGCCTTGCAGAGCTTATTATACAACCTGGAAATGTTTCACTTTTTACTGGACAGCACAAGGTAGCACATTATTGTAGGCTGGATGGAAAATAACAGGTGGTTTGAAAAATATTCTGCAGCTACTTAAGAGTTGATGGTTTATTTTTGATGGAGCTCAAGTCTAGGGCAACGGATGATGAAACCTCCAAATGAATGCAAAAGATTTAGAAGACTGAGGCAAAGGTTCAAGACAAATGCAGGACTTTAAAAGGGTCAAAATCAAATTCCAGCAGTCAATCACATTAAGGGGCTTTGGCAGAACTTGTAATTGATGTTGAAATAAACTCTTCATTCAGTCTGACCTTGTTTGAGAACATGATTCTAGTACTTATCTGAAAAGCTGGTAGAGATCCAAAGAGATTTAAAGCCGTAAGAAGAGGGTGGTTCTACAAAGCATGGAGTCAAAGGAGGACTAAATATAAAATTTACTACACACTTTTCAGCTTTTATCCAAAACAAATAAAGCTATTTATGATTTTCATTTGCCTTCCTTTGTGTTGGTTTACCATATGAAACTCCCATTTTAAACTTAACACATGTAATGTAAGGCAGAGCCATTTCTTAATGCATGTAACCTGCGCCCTTGTCCAAGAAGTAGGCGAGCAAACAGCGCATGACAGCCTGATGACAGATGACCAGAACGTTGCCTTGCCGTTCCAGCTCCATGATAACCGGCTCCAGACGCTGGACCAGGTCTTGGTAGGACTGAAAAGACATGAGCAGCAGATATTTTGCTAAAAGCAGCATGACCAGTAGAATATTATTATTTAAAGCTCCTTCAGGAGAAAATAAAAGGCTGTTACCTCTCCACCAGGGTATCGGTAATGATACTTGTCCTGGTCTCTCATAGCAAACTCCTCTGGATACTTCTTCTCAATCATAGCATAGGTCATCTCCTCGCACACTCCCTGAAACACAGAAAGCATCAATCAGGTGCGTCTTTCTATGTGGATCGGTGACTTCAGAAGGTTTCTAAGGACACACACAGCATCAATTTCATTCAGAATCTTCCACTGCTCATAGGGAACACCCAGCTCTTCTGCAGTCTGAATGGTGCGCTTCAGCTGACTGGTCCAGACTTTCAGATCAGACAGCTTGTGTTCTTTCACAAAAGCTTTCAGCTCCACAGCAAACTGTGAAAGAAAGGATACAAGAACAGTTAGACTGACAGCAAAACATGTCAGCAATAAGGTTATAATTATGGCTTCAGGTGATACATATACAGCACATGAATCCCCAGGGTTAGGCTTTAAAATAAATGGATGGATGGATGGATGGATGGATGGATGGATGGATGGATGGATGGATGGATGGATGGATGGATGGATGGATGGATGGATGGATGGATGGATGGATGGATGGATGGATGGATGGATGGATGGAACAAGGTATGGAACAAACACACTATGAAAGTCTTGAAACGGAAATCTTATTTCATCTTTTTACTTAAAATTCTGTTCTTTTCCAGACTATGAAGGAATTAATATTAACAAAATTACACAATCAAAAACAATTTTAAACCTGCTCCTTATGTGATCTTAGAGTATGGTGTCACTAAGAAATAGGCAAATGATGCATGTATCGGCCGGTGCGGATAAAGAAATAAAAATGCTAATATTGGCCAATGTATCGGTTTATATCTGGCAAACACCTCTCTTGTCTTTCCTTCATATTTCAGAGATTTATATGGGTGATAACTGCAATTCCTTTAGTTAAAAAAAAAAGCATGAAGTAAAAAAAGCACCTTCTTTCCTCTCTCTGACAGACCGGAGTCGCCTCCAATGAGTCCTTCCAGATTGTGCTGGCTCTCTCCGTGCCGGCAAAGGTAGATGGAGTGGGAGTGGACATGGATGTTCATCAGATAATAGACTATCTTACTTTGGATGTAATCCTGCACCCTGTTCACCAGGAAACGGCGACCGACATTTATGACCTGGATGAAGGACAGGTTCCTGCAGGGCATAGATAAAAAAAATAGCAGTCAAACATAAATATTTACAGAAACACAAGACAAGACAGGACACAGGGACACCACCAAGGTTAAAAAGTAGATATCTTTCCTTCCTGTGTTGTCTAAAAGTCTTCGAAGGCTCCAACGTAAACAAGATGTAAGATACCACACAAACTCACTTATATTTTCAAATTAAAAACTAAGGTGTTATTTTAGTTAGATGAAAAACATACATTAAAACTCACAATTTTAGTTTTTAATAAAGAATTTAAGCATAAAAGAATGTAAACCATTTGCCAGAAGTTGGACAGGTTAGGACATTTACTCTTTAACCGAGCTGCTGTTTCCCCCTGTTGGACAAAGTAGGAAAAACACACTTTTTTTTTTTTTTAAACAATGGCAACAAGAACAAACCTGTTATGTTTTTTTTTTTAAAACACAAAAAACATCTAAAATCTACAAATGATAAAAAAAAAAAAAAAGGTTCAGGTAAATTACATGAATGAAATACTGAAAAACCAAAACTTCTTCCACAAGAATAACAATGATAAAAAGAGAATAAGATCTCACTTGTCGTGTTCGTCTGGATCCAAAGGCTGGTAGGTCACTTTATAACATTCGATTCTCTTTAGAAAATCGTCCATGACGCTTTCTCTGTCCCGTTCAGGGTAATCAGGGCTGGACACCTTTACTTCCTATATTTGAAAAGATGATTCAGAGCGATGTTTTAACATTTACAGATTCGGCCTTTAACTGGATAAACAAAGAATAATATATTTACCAGAATGTTTTCAGCAATGACATCTGGATCATCGCATAATGATTCCACAAAAAACACCTGAAACAAAGCAAGCGTAAAAAATCTTATCCCTGCTGTGTGGCATACTGTGAATGGGATTAATAAATAAGCTGTGAATAAGGGACACAGCACAAACCCAGCGAAGCTTCAGATTGTCCATAAACTAGGACAGCTGAGAGTTTTTCATCAGTAAAGTCTGTTAACTATTCAAAGGAGCTACAATAAACTCTGAGCAGTGTGTGGGTATTTATTCGCCATTCATGAGCGTAGTTCTGACCTTGTATGAATTTTCCTTTGCAAAATCAAGGATGAGTGTCCTCCTTTCTCGGGTTGTGTTTGTGGCATCGAAAACCTGACCAACAGCAGGAATAATCAGATTTAACTCGGACTGAACTTGATATTTATTCACAAACAAACAACCAAAAAGCAAAACATTAATATGACGAGCTCCTTACAACAATCTGGCCTCCTTCCTCATTCAGATAGGTCTTAACATCCTGCAGTGCCACCAAGGCGCACTGTCTATGGAAGCACAAAAAGAGAAACACATTAGAAAAAACACCAGCATTTGCTTCTTTTGAACAGGTCACACAGTCTAATAATATCTCCAAGCCAGCATAAACATTACTTCTCTGTGTTTTTTCCAAGTCCTGAATAGAAATCCAGTCTCTTTAATGGATCTTAAACTATATATCTAAGCATTGTGTGTTGTATGCCTTTGAAAGATCTGAAGGTTAAGAGCAGTAGAGCAGCATCTGAAACTCCAGCCCAAAAAATGTGTCTATATATATTTTTTTTACTTTTTAACTATTCCTTTTAGGTGATGCAATTAAAAGACATTGGAATAAATTGTGTCTTTATAGAAAGCTGATCAAAACGAAAGGTTAGAACCTTTAATACATACCGGTATATAATTTAAACCTGACCCTCTACCACTTGCAAGATATGATGCAATAATAGCTTAATGTTAGTTTATTCCTTGATTTAGGCGTCGCTTTATGTCTGAACACATATAAATATGCTTTAAATTACAAAGTGGTAATTGTGAAGGGGAAATTAAAAAATACACAATTATTTATGCACGATCTTTAAAATAAAAATAAAAATCTAGGTTATTTAAATTCAGCACCGGGTCAGTACTCCAACTGTGCTGCGATTATATTTTTAACCTGTTTACCATGTATTTGGCAAATTTAGAGATTGAGATTTTTCTTTTACTTTCGTTTTACCTCAGGGGATATCAGTCATCAAATCTGGTCACAGACCTTCACTTCTGTGCTTTTATCAGACAAACAAATTAAATGGTCTATCTAGTCTCAGGTATTTCACACCATCTGACAGACTATCTTCCTTAATTTCCTTCTACTAATCTCTTCCTTTCTTCTCTCACTAGCTTTTCAAACCTACAAAAGTTTCATTTTGTTCTCTCCTAAGCAACCTGTCCCAGTCCCGTCCAGTGGATCTCTGCAGCTCCTCCAATGTAACCCTGATCCTACTCTTTCTTAGGCTTACTCTGACAATTTAGCTGAATGACTATGGTTTGGCATGAGGCATTATAAATTTGGGGCTCTGTTGGATGTTGTTTAATTAACTAGTCACTGACTAAAAAGACATCCGACCTGTGTGGACTGTTCTTTTGACTTCTTTTAGTTCTATAATGTTCTCTAACAAACCTGTGAATAACTCTATGTACTATGCAATTAAATGACACCAGGTGGACTTTATTCACTGATTGGATTACATCTAATGGCAGCTGGCGCCACACTAACAAGGTACATAAATCAGAGTGACAATTTTATGCAGGGATATTACAGCAGAATACATTTTTATTTGCAAATGGTTTTGTCACTGTGTATCTTTCTCCTTCTAAATGAGCATCAGTTTGTGTTTATCTATCACATAAAATACCTATAAAATGCATTAAGGCTAGTTGTAACAGCATAAACGTGTAATGGTTTAAGAGGTGGGCACAATAAAGATCTTTTGACTCACTTTCTAATTTCCATCGCCTCTTCATTGTCATGTCTGAAGAAATCATAGGACTTGTATGACTGCACTGCTTCTCTCCTGTAAGCTCCCAGATTAAAGACTGCAAGATATTTAAAAAGGAAAAAAAGGAGATAGAGAGGAAGAGATGAGGATTAAAGTCTGTGCGCTCTCTAGGCAGTGATCTTTGTTTAAACTGCCTCGGCTACACAGGTTCTTCTGCATTCCTTAAAGCTGAAAACAGAGGGTACAACTACAGTATCAACACAGCAGTGCTAGAGCATGCTAATAGCCGAAACCTTTTAGCCTGAAGCGAAAGATTTCTTGAAGGCAAATAAACAATGTAGACCACCACCATTAGAGCTAATGTCATCATGTTTTAGTTGTATTTATTTGCTTTATTTTTTAAATGAAATGTTCTTCTCTGAATGAAGATCAGACATGTTTTTTCTCAGTACTGACCCTTTGTAGGAACTCCGATCCAGTTGAGGTAGCGTGTCAGCTTCTTAGACATGTAGGTTTTCCCCCTAGCAGGTAATCCAATCATCACTATCATAAGTGGAGAATTGGTCATATAGGAGGCCCAAGCTGCAGTTCAGAGACATAAATTACAGTATTTAGTCTTTTAATCATGGAAAAAACATTTCATGATCTGTGTGACATTTTTTAACGCCCAGGCTCAGAGGTGTGGAGGCCAAACTGTTTTATTTTATAAACAACTATGAAAGAATTACAGCACGTACACTAGAAGCAAGACGTGGGAGTGTTATGTAATGATCCAGTGTCACCTCTGCACGTCTTTGAACTGGGTAATGTTTATTATATCGTATCTTTTAGGAAGCAGTTTATGATTAATTGTACCCTGTATTCCAAAGCACAGTGGCTTGGTTCAATGTTCCAACCTTTCCACGCTTGAACAAGGAGTGGATATTGTTACTTTTTTTTTTTCCTTCTCTGCTCTACAGTGTACAGGGAAAGATAAATCTATCCAGACAAGGAGCTGACGAGAACAGACTTGACACAAGATTCTCAGAACTGAAACGCAGGAACTTGAAAAAGCTTGATGTTGAAAGTTAGAGCTGCCATACATTCCTGATGGGGGAAAAAAAGTCTGGATAATGCATTGAAACAACGGTCCTGATGACATTGTAATATTTACAGCCCCTTTGAGTGAATGCATCTGTGCATGCTTTTTTCCAATACACTCACACTGTGCACATACCAATAATGGGAGATGGTGCGTCACAGTTGACATTTAGCATTGCACACTGGTTGAAATGGTATTATATCCTGTTACACATTGCACACAGAGCTGGGACTCTTTATCAAGCAAGCATTTTGAAATTTACTTCCAAATCATAAGAGAACCTGCTAAATAATACACCAACTAGGGGGCACCTAGAGTTCAACCTTTAACAAAGAATAGGTTAGAAGTTTTAGTTATGCATTCTGCCTTTGGTAAACAGAGGAACAAATCACTCACAGCACTTCTTCTCATTGTTCTTTTGGTCCGTCCTTTTGGCTTCAGCTGAGCTTTTTAAATCGGCAGGAGGTTTCTGGTTTCTGGCAGCCATGACTGGGCTTGAGCTGCGCCCCAATGTTACAGCAGGTGGAGGGACAGTGATCTCTGGTCACGGGGAAATGTGCTGTAACATGTCACATGCAGCGTGATGCTGGCATAATATTAGATCTAAGGGAACATTAAAACAAGAGATAATTATTTCTGTTAAATAAAATGCAAAACAATGCCTACATTGTCACAGATAAACAATTTGTAACTGAAATTGCTATTTATTATATTCTTCATAAATGCTCATTTTATTTATAAAAAAAATGAATGTTAGAACTGTAAATATACAGTCATATGTTTATATTACTATTTTTTAATGTATTTATTACTGTTTTCAAGGCTGCACTTAAAAATATGAAATTGTCTAGAGCTGTTTTAATTGAAATTTCTTTTTGTTTACACTTGTTTATGCAAAATAAATCTGTCTAAAAAAAAAATGGCTAACAACAATGGTTAACAATTCCTAAAGTGGGAACTCTCTTAAAATAAAATGTTTAGTTAAACAATAACTTTAAGAAAATCAACACTTATGTCACCAGAATAATATATATGCACTTAAAACCTGTACATAACTAAATTATAATATGCATAATTAAAATTATATATATCTATATATAATTTTAATTCTGTATAAATATATGTAATCGTATTTATACAGAATTAAAATTATATATATATATATATATATATATATATATATATATATATATATATATATATATATATATATATATATATATATATATATAGATGTTCCTTCTCAGCAAGCTTAATTAAAGTGATCTTCAACGGTTGAGTGTTAGCTACAACTTCCCCATGTAACTGTAAATATATGAGTATTTACAGTTTAAAGCTGCGGTGTTAACAGCACTGTAAAGACTAGGTGTTTTAATTTCTATCATTTCAATATGAAAAGAATCAAATGTCTGAATCTAAGCCTAAAAGCAGAATCTATTCTTGCCATTTTTCAACCTGTTACACACTGTACCGAACAACCGGAGCTTCTACTGTACATGAAGGCGAACATGACCTGAAAACTTCTGCGTTTACAAATAGAAAGCAACTGCGCAGCATAACAACTGAGATGAAACCAGCAACATACCAAGACGAGCCAAAGTGTAAATTGTGCCGGGGTGTCCTCCACTTTTGTGAGTGATGCTATTATTTGACCTGAAGCGGCTACGCTGACATCCCCTTCTTCCCCCTCGGCTTCAGGTCCGCCTCCTTTCTGATACAGGAAGTTGAACTTTTCAGTGAAAGTAGTTCTTCCGGTGAATGTTTCAAAATAAAGTAATTCGAATACGTATTGAACAAAGCCTTACGTTATCATAACTGCCATATTGGAGGTGTAATTTCACGGCCATAAAACTTGTTCATATACGTATATTTTCTTTCAGATTAAATTCATTGATATCAATTTAATACTAAAGCCAGACGAATCTCTGGATCTGATGAAACACTGATGATAATTAAACACAATACACATTATTATTATTGTTAGAAACAGAAATAGTAAAAATAACAATAACGCAACAAACTATAACAAAATATATAAAAAAAAATCATAATTAAATTTCACACTGCATCATAACATGTATATATTTTAGCTGGATGAAACACACTTACAAAATAACTGGTATGATCACTATAACTAAAATGTGAGTTGGACGGCTGCAATAATTATATATCTCATTTGATTTTCATCATATTTTGCCCTATATACAATTAGAATATATTTCCAGATTTAGAGTTTCATGATTTAATTTGTTTTACTCTATTACATAACTGACCCTTTCAATTACAATGTTCTATCTTGTTCTAAAAAGTCATACTTTCCTTTGACTTCACAGATGAATTAAATATGAATAAACAATCAAAGGTTTGTCAAAATAAGGTAAAAACTTAACTAATCTATAAAGTTAAAATACAAGTCATATTAGATATTCCCCAAATGTTCCCCGCTGCAGTCTTGATTACATTATGTAAAAAAATATAAATGCACAGAGGCCTAATCTGTGCACTAAACCCTTTATTTTCTATAAGCTAACGTGAAGAAAATAAATCAGTTACTGATCCTTGTTTTATTTTTGGTTTTAAAGCAAGTGTAACAACGAAACACAAAGCAGTTTAGAAACACAAAGATTTGTTTTGCTAGATTGTTTTTTCTGCAACAGGTTTAAGTATAATTGATAGAATTGAGACAATTCATTAGCTTGAAACATCATAAATAAGAATATGCATTACAAAAATTCGGTGGCATTCCTTTTTAATACTACATCTTATGTTATACATAAAATGTGCCACATAAATCATTGCAATCACAAAATCTTTATCTTTGAAAGAAACTAGGCTCACAGTGTCTAACTAATACACAGTAACGTTAAACAACCCTTCATGTGTATGATATGTGCTTCTAGTGTAAAATTATTCAGGACAGCGGAAACTGGAACTAGAGTTTTTGCTTATTTGACTAACTGGGTCTCTGAGGACAGATATGCAGCCAATGGAATAGAGGCCACTAAGGATAGCTTCTGCAGTAAGAATGCACTGTAATTATGATTCAGTTTCTGTCTATCAAGCAGGCAGAATAAATAAATTCATCACATAGCCGGAAAAGTATTGCCTTGCTTACACGGTGGTTGAAAAGCACATCAGCAAAGTGAACCTCCAGAGTTGCACCTTCCGGTTTGTCCATTTTGTAGCCCTTTGGAACTCGGGAAGTACTGGTAAACTGTCTAAAGATCCCTGATCGGAGGTCTTGCTCTCAGTGTATGGGCAAGTAAAGGGATCCGGCTCTAAGATGATTTGAAATAAAGAGAATGCTTTCCACAAACTGTCCCATTTATGAATGCCAACAAACAGTACATACCCTGAATGCCTCACACAGATAATTTGCAAGACCTATTGAAAGGAATACTATAAGTTCACTGGTAAGAATCTTTGTATATGTTATATTAAAGAAATGCCATGCTTTCAGAGATTACACAGTAATAAAAAATATGCTGTAATGCCTATAATTTTACTATTGGTGTAATATTAACTTGGTAGCTAATATTACCGTTGGATAATGAATGCTATAAGGAAAGACTACAGGAATGATGACCAGGAAATGTGGCAAAGGGATGTTTAATGATTTTTCAGGACAATGAGGTGAGCATGTCCAATGTTGAATGTTGTACAAATAAGAGAAGTGATTTTGCAGGGTTGTATCAGTATTCCCAGTTCAACATTATTTGCTTGATCCTTTTTCCTAACTAAAAGGATAACCACATGTTCTAAGTGTTCTATTCACTCACCAGTAGGGGAAGCTCTAAGAAAAAGCCATGTAAATTGACAAAAAACAAATTGAGGGCCAAAGGTGCCACAGTTCTATCAACAAATGTTGAAATATTAATATACATGGTCATTTAAATACAACTGGAACAGCATGTTACTGTACATTATCTATAATTATGTTAATATTGGAATTGATTTGATACATAAATATGGAATTTATAAAATGTATTTTTAACATTTATTTTTAATGTATCAAGCGTATTTAAACAACCACGTATATGCAAAACCAGCCTTTCTTTATATTTGCTGGATGTAGCACTTTAGGCCCTAAGTTTTAACAGGTTACTTGCAAAGGTGCGAAATCCTCAAATCAAATATTTTGCTTCAGAAATTCCTCCGACTCAAACCACTATTTGACGAGGGATGTCACATACAGAGGTAAAGCACATGGAAAATAATGCAGCTGAACTCAAAACACATTTAAATAATTTTTTATATAAAAGTGAGCAAATGAAACTGAAATGGAGTTGGCGAAAAATTCTTGCATTTCAAATATCTATCAAAATTACATGTTTATGTAACTTTTTTATTAATGTTGAAAGTCAAAAATATGTGAAATTACATAAAAACTTAATTGTACCTTAGACTTTGAGTCTCAACCAAAAAAATGTATCACAATGCAATAACTGAAAATAAAGACATGCCATTAGTCACCTTAAGACTGCACAGAACTATCCACTGGGGGAGGGGTTAGAGGAACACTGATCATGCCTTGATGCATGAAGAGCATTTTCTAAAGCTCAGGGGTTTTGGCCATTTGATTTAAGCTTATATAGGAAATCTTTATTCAAAAATGGTTCATCTATCAAGGTGTTTAACCTGAGATTTATTTTATTCCAACAACGCAGCTCATCAATAAACTTATTTGTCCTTCACATAAAAAAACAAAACAAAATAAATTTTGAAGAATGGATACCTACATCTTCGATTGGTCCGAAATGTCTAAATTATTGCTTTTCTATTAGGATTCTCCTCAGGAGTGAGAAAAAGTCCCCTCCCCCTCCACCCCCGTCTGGTTGAAAAGGAATACCACATTGAGAGGTGAATGTCTTGGTCCCCCACATCCAATCAGGATGCAGTGAAAAGTTAGAATGATTAAGAAAATAAAGGTGGCCAAACTTGATCTGAGGTGAACTGAAAGTGCAGTGATCAAGTTGCATTTCATACATTCCACTGTAGCTCACTGATTAAGCAAGTCTCCCTTGAATCCATTACTCAAAAGCAAAAGAAATGAACATAAGATTGGATATTGACAGCTTGTGATGAATGTTTGTGAAAGGGAATAATAGAGGAAAAGGACTATGTGAATGATTGCATCAAGTGCAAATATATCATGACAGTAAATGTACTTTATATAAAACTAACTTGGTGCTTAACACTGACCTCTTTCTAACAATTATTCTGGTATACAGCATTTACAAAATTAACATTGTAATAGTGTGTTTTTTTATAATATATGCTACTGCCTTCCTATGGTTCTCTTCGGTTCAAACACCATCTTGTATTCCTAACACAGTAAAGAGCTTGCACCATACGCCAATATAAAGAGAGAGAACAGGAAGACTCTGGACAGTGAGTACACCTGCATGTGTGTCCTGAGTGTGTGTGGATGGTAGCTCAGCTCGTAAACCGCACAGCCACAATTCGCCTGTCGACTCAGCAGTGAGGGGATTTTTTTTTTTTTTCCCTAGAAAGTAAACTTTTGGGATGCCAAGATATTTCAGTTCACAAGGTACAGAATGTCCTAATTCAAGATACTTTCACAATTAAAGACAGTCTTGAAATATTTTAGGAGATAGTTATAATAACAATAACATAATAACAATAGTATTAAACATCTGTGAAGGTTTTTCTGTCCAAAGGTGGCAGGATCACTATCTGGAATATTACGGTGCTCTGTGATCCTCACATCTTCATCAGCTGCGTTGCTAAAAGATCAGCCTCTGTGCATCAGTTATACACATCTGTGTGTTCATTTCAGAATTGTGTGTCTGTGGCAACGAGTAACTGAAAGTGAGTGTTTTATCATCGATGGTGGCTTGTTCTCAGAGGCGGGTCTGGGCCTCGGGGACGTAGATTTCAATGCTGTCAGCACTTTCTGTGGCAGAGTTCTGTCGTACTGATGCCGCCTTTTTGGCTGCCATCAACCGCTTTCTGGCTTCTTGTCGCTGCTTGTCCACCGCAGAGTCTACACTTTTGTCTTTCCCTGTTGACAGTCGGGGTTTGGACTGCTTCTTTGGCACAGATGATGGAAGCTGCTTGTTTTCATCCTGAGGAAATTATGTCACATATTGAAGAATATGAGACAAAATAAAGACCCATGAAGTTGGTATGATGCTTAAATGTTAGGAAATGTTCATATAATTAAACAAGTTTCAATAACCTTTAAAGGCACACTATGCAACATTTTTCAGTTAATGAATGTGTTCCATAACGTTTTGGATGATTAAATGAGTCATTTCAGGTTGAACAAAGGTATTCTCGGCCGCCCTGGTGGTCTGTGGGGGAAATACTGCACTTGCAATTGCAGGAGCACCAACCCGCACCCACGGGCTCAGAAGTCTCACGAGAGTCAGTCTTGCTTTACGGCGAGAACTGCTACACGCCCCAGTTAAAAGAATTCTCGTTGCTAGCACAGTGGCGATCTTTGTGCAGTAATGCTACGTTCACATCGGACGCAGCAAAATCGCGTCTGCTGCTTCCTTTTTGCTGCTTGTACCAGTTAGTTCTGAAGCGCGGCTGAAGCAGCTTTGCTGCTCTGGCTGCGTGGTGCAAAAGTGTGTCTGACGCGCGTTGGGCGGAGCTTCACTATCCTTTCTCTGCCTTGCAGCTATATTTGCTGTGATCAGTGGGAATAAAGTAGTTTTAATATGTGTTTAAGTGAGAAAATACACCTGAAAACGTAATCAGTGCAGTCAGTTCATTCAGATTATCATCCTGCCTTCAATATTATTTCTGTTGGAGCCGCTCAGACCCCCACATACCAGCGGTGCGCCGACAGTAGGAATCCCTTCATCAGCAGCCTCTGGCCGGGTCAACTCCTCGCGGTTCACCGGGGCAGCTGGTAGGTGTTTTTCATCTAAATAATCCAAACTGCAGGCAGCAGGATAATAAAAGCCAACATATTCTGCCGGCAGATTTCTGCATTTTAAGTTAATTTAGGCGTCAATAAACTGTTTAAGAGGAGTGATCATCAGCGCTGTGTCTCTCTCCCTGCGTTAGATGATTAAACGCGCCCGACGCGCTGCTTCCTTCAGCTGCTCAGACGCGCTGCGCCTGCTGCTCAAAACGCGCCGCGGGACCTTTTGCTGTGCGTCAACCATTGACTTTGCATGTAAACTTGCTGCTTCTGTCGCGCCAGCTGCGTCCAGTGTGTGCATTCGTTGCGTTCTCCTGTCTGCTAAGCTCAAAACAACCGCGCCTGGCTTGACGGAGAAACCAGGAGAACAGCTGTGCATATTTACGACAGTGCACTTTTACTTTCGCCCTCTGGGGGGAGCCTCGCTGGAAAATCAACACCCGTTGCATAGTGTACCTTTAAACTGCAAACAATTTTATTAGTAAAAGTTGCATCATAATATATCAGTAACTTATAACAAAAAATGAGAAATAGACAGCCAGTGAAAAAAATAACATTAGTGGATTGGCTTTGTTCAAAATGTGTACGGTCCAATGCATTCTCATCTTCATACTTTTGACCTTACGCTAACAAATGACATTGATTGTATTCTACAGGAATCATAACTAATCTGGAAAACAGTCTACTACCTTATAAAATGAACCACTGTAACACAGGAGCAGCATATTCTTCTTGATTTATAGAGGAGAATAAGAATTAGCCTTGATTACTTTATAATACAGTTCCAGGCTATGTTGAACCATAGCAGTGATGATTTTATGGTATTCTTCATAAATTAGATTGATCCAGTTTACTTGTACTTTAGATCCAGTTCCAACCAGGTTATTAAGGATATATTCTCCAAGATTTCCACCTATGATTAATGTATCCCTAATGCAGGGATATGTACTGCAGGCTATTAAGGTAGCTGTAAGTAAAACTTGACTTAGGAAATTTTCTCTCGTTCTTTATGGCTTGGTCAGTTATAGAACTATATTCAAGTTTCATTTCTTATCTAGAATTCTTGAGAATATGCAGTTGCTAAACAGGTGTGTAAGGACTTAAACAATAATGAACTATTTGAAGAGTTTCAGTCAGATTTTAGAGCTTATCCTAACACTGAAACTGAAACAGCTCTGGTGAAAGTCCAAAATGATTTTATCATGGCCTCAGATAATGGACTTGTATCTGTACTTATCTTGTTAGATCCCAGTGCTGCATTTCATACATATGATCCCACTAGTCTTTTAGAAAGGCTTTAACGATGTGTAGGAATTAAGGGGGCTTTTTAAATGAACCATCCACGTTTTTTTTTTTTTTTTTTTTTTTAGAAGATTTTTTTATGAAATGAAACCAGCTGAAACTAACAATTTTCCACTTGAGGGGTTCTGGATGGAGCATATTGACAAATGAAAAACATTTCTTCATCTTATTTGATATAACAATTTTGATATAATTAGAGGTCGATGTGGGTTGCTCTGACAGCTAAAAGCATATTTTACAGTCTCTATACTCCAGTTAACAATTAATTGATTACTAAATTAGTTGATGATTATTTCAATAATCAATTTATCACGAGTAATCGAGATTAATCCTCTTGATTGTTACAGCCCTATATAAAATCTACTAATAGCAATCACCTTCTTCTCCGGCTTTTCTGGAAGTTGCCAGTTATTTGCTTTTAGTTGGTAGAGCTCGTCAAACTTCATGCTGATGTCTTCTATTGATAGTTGCAGCAGATCCCAGAAGCCTGCAAGGTCCTGTGCTGTTGGTCTTGGGTTGGCATTAACGTTCTAGTAAAAAAAAACAAACAAAAAAAACATATCACATTAAAAAACTGTTTTATTACATAAGAAAAGAAATGAAATTCCACAGCACATGTTTCTTTGTCAACTTGCCCAATAACTGTTGCAGTATCTAAACTTAACAGAAAGCAGGCAAGTTGGGACAAAAGGATTTAGAGGAGAATATAATCAGTTGATATCACAGGGTGTAAGAAGCAACTTTTTCCTAAAACTTTATCCAACGTCTTTCAATAACAGCAGCAAATTTCCACAATAGATTTACACCGCAGTGCCAAGAAGAGCCATCTTATAAAATAATCTGGTCAAGTGAAAGACGTCCTTCTTATTGTAGGACTGCACAATTCAGACATTGGGCATGACATTTATCCACTACTGGAGGATGAAAAAGACGACAAGCTTTGCTTTGGTACTCCAGAAAAGAAGATGAAAGACAAAACTCTGATCTTTCTTCATCTTTTCTGCACCCACAGCCATAGATGGACCAAGCTCCAGCAAAAGTGGCCTTTTGCATTGGGAAAACATGGATCCGGACTACAGCAACACAATAGTCAGCCTGAGCCTAACATTCTAGTCCCACATTTGAGAACTTGTCCACTGTATTTAACACATCCTGCAGGGAGCAGTGTGCCTCCACAATAAGTAGCTATTGCCTTTCTCTCAAACCAGAAGCCCGATAAAATTTGTCTCTCTTTGCCAACTCCTTATCTGCTGCTAATCTGGCTTTAGCAGCAATTCCTTTTTTTTTTTTTTTTTTTTTTTTTAATCAACAAGCATACTCTCTTCCTGCAGTGATCTGCAGAGAGTTAAGCATTTAAGAAAGGTACTAACATGCCTGGATATATCAGCAAAACAATGCTGGTAAGAACCAGAAGAGAAACTACTTTAAAGAAAAAATATGCATTAGCCCTTATGAAAAGGGTAGCATCAATGTGCAGAAATACTTTAACGTCCATGAATTACTGAGGGATGTAAAGTAGCTACTCACCAGATTCTCCTTACAGAGGCCTCTAAACTGCTCAAACTTCTGTGAAATGAGGAGCTGAGCACTTCCCACTGCACTACGGATGGTCCCCAACACTGCAAAGACAAAGAAGTGACAAGTTCGAGATGTTTAACAAGTCACAATTTTATCTTTTGTCACACTAAAAGTTTGTATTCATTTATTTTTTTTAAAAACATCCATTAACATTTTATTCCAACCACTTGCCTATAAGTGGAAACTCATTACTGGAGAAGTCTGGGCAGCAAGAGTGTTTATCTGAAAGATTCTTTACTGCCTGATGTCTTCACTCATCTATTGTTCAGTCTGCTAAGATTGACTTGCCTAAGAGTCTGGTGCATACTGTAAAAGATGAAAATGTCTGATGACGGTGGTGGAGTTAAAACAGCTAAAACAGACCTTAAAACCACTTTAATGATTTACAGTAGTTGATTCAGTAGATTCAGTAAATGGTGTATTGCTTTAACTCTTCAACCACAAACACCAGGGATGAGTTATTATTCCCCTTTAAAAGGCTTGAGATTTCTATTACCAGGTAACAGGAATTCCAAGTAGTTCATCAGCATACTTTCCCAATACTCTAGAGGCCCTATGATGATCAACCTGGGATAAAGTGCACTACACCTTTAGGCCAGAAGAGGGCATCAGCTAAAAAGGTTGACATTACATTTTTGTTCTTTTTAATCAACCTGCATCTGTCCAGAGTTGCATTTTAACTGCATGATTCATTTAAAATAACCACTAAAAACACTGACATACTCTTTTGTTATTATAATCAAGTAAATCTCAGATATCTTCAGCACAAACAGAACATGTTTGTAGTTTAAAGCTATTTATTAAAGCCCATGTTGATGTAATCAATTATCTGTATAAAGTAGAAGCTTTAGACCAGGCATCCCCAAACTCGGTCCACAAGGGCCCCTCTCCTGCAGGTTTTAGAGGTTTCCTTGCTCCAGCACAGCTGATTTTAATTGAAACCTGATTAACAGGCTTTTGGTCTACTGCAATCATTATAACCAGCTGTGCTGAAGCAGAGAAACCTCTAAAACTTGCAGGACAGGGGGCCTTGAGGAATGAGTTTGGGGATGCCTGCTCTAGACCATGGAAGAACCCAGAAAATCTTCCTTGCAGCCCCACAATTGCAATGCCAAGCAACAGAAAAATAAATAAAATCAGATCCGGCATAGGTTGTACATTAACCACCAGTACGGCCCCTGCTGTACTGTACATCAAGTCCAAAAAAAAAAAGCATGTGTTTATTGCAGATGGGATGGCTCATCGTTAGTTTGCCTTCACACTCCCATATTCAGTTTGGGAGCAAACCAATAAGCTTTGTGTGGAGGCCATGCTTACATCATTACGTGACTTACTTCCCACTTTACACTAGTGCTACATTAACTCCTTATCAAATGAGTCCTATGAGCATACAGAGCCAACCACAAGCATTTCCTTTAGTACATTTCTGACTTTTATATTGATCCAAATGCAAGTTCACTTCTCTACTTTAGGTCAAAGCTGGAAACCCACTTACTGGCCTGCCTTCTATCTATGGCAGTCTAGATAGCATCTTTACAGTCGATATGTAGTTTTATATTCATTCCTTTATTTTCTCATCATTAGCCAAGATCTTTATATTTTTATTTTCTTATATAGTTCATTTCTATCCATGAAGTTGAGACATCATGACGGACAAGTCATGCTAAGCTATAAATGCACATATGCAAATGTTCTGGTTCTGCAGTCAACCCATGGATACAAGTGCCTCAGTTGTTGCTGCTGCACCAGGTAAAGAGCAGGTGTGCTTTAGAAAACACAAAAAGGCTTTCTGTTTTTCTTTGTTGCTATTACTTCTGTAGGTAACTTTTTGCACTCCTACATACCTGACAGGTTCTGCTTTTTGCAACCTTACCCAGAAATTTTCCCCATTCTTATTGATTTATCTCAGCCAAGCCCAGCTCCATTTATTCTTAACGCCACCATCAACCGTAAATCCAACCCTTCTTGAAGAAAAAGCATTAATGCTAAATTAGCCTGAGCTAGAGCGTTACTCTTCTTTGTGTTCTTAATACTTCTTGATGACAAATCACAAGGAGATTCCTGGTTGGTCACACCCATTGTTGCAGTGATAGAACATTTAAATCCATGTGAATATTCCAATAAATATGAACACTGATACTGCTAAGAAGATGTATTTACTCAATTTATGATTCCATTTGTAATGGATTTGTTCTAATCAAAACAAACGCTCCAGAACTAAAAACAAGCATAATAATTTTGATACCGACTTACCCTCCTCTGAGAGCTTGTTGTCTTTGGTCTCCTGCTCCATCTGCTGACACCAGCCCTCCATGCGGCCTGTTTCTGCCTGCAGCAGCTTCAGAAACCAGTTTCCATCTCTGAGGCATGCTGGAGTACCTGGGTGCACCGCATCTCCCGAAGAGGTGTAGTTTCCAGATTCGAGGCTGGGATCCGGAGGAGGCAGAGAAGAGGGGTCTAAAGCTGGGTCCAGAGTCTCAGGAGGTGAGTTTGATATCCTTGATGGAGTTAAGTGTTTAAGATGATGCTGTTCCATGGCTTTGTCCTGTCCATTAGTTGTGGTGCTGTTTAGTGTCTGGCTGTTGGTGCAATTGGTAGTAGCATTTTCTGTGGGTGCAGCATCCTGTAGCTGAGGCTCAGTCTCTGTATTTTGTCTGGAAGCCATGCTGCTATCCCGGCTGAGACTGCAGAGATAAGATGAAACATCAGCTTCTGACCTACTGAGAGAAGATATTTGGACTATGATTCAAACTCTTCTATAGTACAACTTTGAGGACAATAGAATTATAATCCAAGGTAATGAGGCATTGAGAGTTCCCAGAAGACATGACATTGTTAACATGCAAAAGAAAAACAGGAATGTTTACAACAGAGAATAAATGCTTCATAAACTATTGGGCTCCAATTAAAAAAAAAGGAGAAAAAGCAGCAGTCAGGAAAATAGATAGGACTACACAGTAATCCTCCTGCACAGAACATATTTGAATGGGCAGCTCCATGCAAGGGTTAGCTCAGATACAGTAAGCCAAAGCAAGAGGAAAAGGACATCAATCAGGGGTTTTTTGTCTGTTGCAAAACTAGTAAATAAAAAAAACTCAATGCAGACTCACTAACAAGAATAAACTAACATCGGTAAACCCTTGCAGTTATGGAAGGAAACAGGATCAAACACTTATAGAATTTATGGAGAAATAAGAAAATATAGCATACTTTAAACCAATGTTATTTAAAACCCTGTCCTTAAAACAAGCTATACAGCATGTTTTAAATGTTTCCCAGCTTCTTCACACCAGATTTCAACTGCTGGCTTTCGTAATCAGATGTTTTAGCAGATAAACATCTATAACCTGTAGAGCACTGTGCCTGGAGGAGCAGAGTTCCAAAACGCTGCTTTAAACAATGACAGCTGAGAGGTGCTCAGTGCAGAGATTTTTCCAACAATCAGCAAAAAGCTAAATGGGAGTTAGGACTGTTGATCAGTCATGTTTCTAGGACACCATTTAAACCAAGAGACCAATTTTCACTAGGAATCAGACTATTGATTGAGACTTTAAATAAAAGAGGAAGCACATAATGTCAGATCTATTTAAGAAATTTTTTTAAAATACTGAGGAATTTTGGGTGCTAATTAGTAATAAATAGACAATTTTAATTAATGAGAACAAGACGTCTGATCTAGATTCTTTACTTTTTATTAACGCATACATGTGTTTCACATGGATAGTTGCATTGGTAACATAAAATTTTCTGTTTTCATTAAGTGTGAAATAATGAGAATATAATCAGATTGGACCCAGAGCACCATATGGTGGGCCTCCATTAAAGGCAAGAGCAGCAAACATGCTTCATTGCCAATAGAACCAAAAGCAGATGCAGCATCCTAAATCATTTTCCAGACTGGAGTGCAGATGTGAGGCCAAATGAGATCCTATAAAATATCACACAGCTGGAACATCTTGTCAGTGAACAGAAATCCAGCATGGAGGGACGCATGCATGTTTGACTTTATTTCATTTTTAAAAATTGGTGTTTGTCTATCAAATATGCAACAGCACTTACGGCCTGCCGTTTTCAACTTGAACACCAATGGACTGAAACTTTAATGGTGCAGTCAGGGGTAATGGCTCTTCCCTTGGAACTGGAAGAAGGCAATCCACCTAATAGAACAGCAACATTAAAAGGTTTAGAGGGTTGCAACTGTTTAACTTGCAAGATTGTGAGTAAAAAAAAAAAAAAAAAAAAAAAAAAAGGCTTACCTGGATTCCAATAGAGGAAAGTTTCCTCTTGGTGGCTGTTGGGGGCTGCTCTAGGGTGGCACCAGTATTCACCGCATCATTTTGGCATTGAGCAGATGTTGAAGTGGTCGCAACAGTGGTGGAGGAGAAGTCACGTGGGGCTGGGACAGGGGGTCCAGAGCCTGCAGCTGGTGCAAGGCTTATGATGGAGACGGGGGCTTTAGGAGGCTGGGTCCTCTTCAACAGGCTGCCTGTACGTATGCTACAGAGACTGTCAGACGAGTTGCTGCGCCCCGACTGGCTGTTGACCTCACTACTCCGGTCTTGTTGGTCTAGGTATGTGTCTTGGGCTGACTCTGTGCTGCTTTGCAAAGTCACTGAGATGAGAGGCTTGGATGCAGACCGGGGTGGGACTGGAGGAGGAGCCTTCCTATTGCTGACTGTTTACAGCAGAGGACAAGAACAGGAAGAACACAGTCAACTCCTTTTCGTATTTAAAACAAAAGGGTGAGCAAAAATAATTACACTTGGGTTATATGGAGCATATGAAGAGCCAAAAACTCAAACCATATCTTATCTAAGAAACACCTGTACTTTGCCCTTATTGCTGCATCTATTACGCTGTATCGGTTGCAACCTCTGTGCCTCTGAGGAGCTTGTGCCAGTAGTTGTCTTCCACTGACGTCAGCCTTTCTCTTGGCAACTTCTCTTCCAAGCCACACCTTTATGTGTTTTAAGCTCTAGGGAGTCTCTTCTATCTGTGTTAACAGCCCTCGTTTATGACCATAGACAAATACAGGCTTCTATGGTCTATGTGAATTCACCCAAGAAATGCGGTCATCCCATTGGCTTGTGCATCTACTAGAGCATGAAATGTTTTGTTAAAAAGTATAAACAAAGAATAAATTAAATGAAAAAAAACCCGGTCAGCAAAATTCTGCTTATCGCTGCCTCAGATAAGAACTGAATAATCAGCAAAACAAAACATTTTTCCCCCCTTTACTTTAACTGCAAGGTGTCATCCTGTTCAAATGTATGCAAGTTTGAGTGAAAGTTGTATCTGGTCAGCCACAGGGTTGTGTCTAACAAAGGAAAAAATATTGCCAACTAATGAGAATATTTCATTTCCAGTAATTTTGGCAAAAACGATACAATATAGTCCTTACTGAAAAAAAGAAATAGAATTTAAACTGTTTCTTTTCTGGGTGAAAAAGAAGTAGACAATAAAACATTCAAAAAGTTCATTGCGTGTACGAAAGTATATTCAAATGACTAATTATCATAGCTTATCTCTTCTGCTTATAGCTCTATTTGCCTGTCATTATGCTGCTGATACACCTCAATCATCCCTCTGATGGATGAAACAGGGGTAGTGACATAACTAATAGCTAATGCACCCGGTTAGGGATATTTCCTGCAATAATCATACATTTCGTTCTGCAGGCTTTGCAACTGACAAACATCACACAGCCTCTTCCTTGCCGTGGATTGTGTTTAAGTGAGATTAAAACAGATAGCATTAGTTTGTGTCGGCTGGGAGGTTTATAATGTACTGTTGCAGATATACACGCTCCACTGGCCTTTGATTTTTTTTCCTGTAATTAGATTTACTTTTACAAGCATAAGCACAAATAGCATCCTTCAGCTTTTCCATTTCTTCTGTCCAAAAGTGTTTTTAAGAAATACTTTTTTGTCTACCATCATCAGCCAAAGTACTTTCCATGTTAGAGGTACTTTGAAACGTCCAGTAGCAGCTAAATGTTTTTATACTGAGTAATACATATTTAGGTGAACGGAAACAGGAATAGAAAGGGTGGGTGTGTTGTTACAGTATTACTGGACAACAAAGGGCAGAAACTTGGGGACAAATGGGTTGATCTATAGTGAATTTAAGGCAGATGAGTTACTGTAGTTAATTTTCATATCAAACGTATCGTTATGATATTGATGCACTTGCATTTGTTAAACTCTACTCTATGGATACATTTTCAGATGCGTGAGCTCGGATGCTATACACTCAGACACTATAGGACTGCCACCCATGAATATCTTTAGGCAAAGCCGTATTAAACCCTAGTTACAATATGAATAAGTGTCCACATCAATGCGTTTTGCACCAAGTCTTTCTTCTCTCACTGTTTACATTTGATCACTGCTGCACTTTATGACATGGAAATGTTCATTTCCCTGCTAAGCTGCTGCTCATTCACTGTCTGAAAGCTGTGTAAAACAAAACTTTGTTTTGTACAGCTCCCTCTTTCTTGAATCAAAAAGAAAAGTTTCTTCATTTCCTTGTTTTTATATTTTCAAAGTTAATGAACACCATCCTAATCTGCTAGTATGATCTAAATCACTAAGATACAGTCAGGTGTTTTATCTGTTAAACGACTTCAATTATCCAATAAAAAAAACATTGTTACAAAATGTAGTTCCTTTATAATGCAGTCTGACATCTAAATACAGGTATTAGAGTAAAGAATTCACTTTTTTTTTTTTTAGCACAAATAAACAAGGGCCAACAGCAAATTCCCACTGAGGAAAGACAAGTTGCATTCAGGGGAAGAAAAACAATCCTAACAGGATGGATGGGTGGATGCTACAGATTTCAATACTGTTTGGTAACATCTAAGTAGTTGAGGGACAACTTATTAAACATTATGAAGACATTAAGGAAACAAACTGTGGCAAAAATTATCTTTCAGAATGGAGGACCTAAAGACAAACATATCAGATAAAACACGTCTTTTAAAATATCCCAGCAAGTAATCTAAAGCTTAACACTTTTGCTAAATAGCGGAGATTCTGTGGTAATTTTCTCCGGCAACAGCTTCCATCTGAATAGCAAACCAACACCCTGTAATTCTGAGCGCACTGCAATTCCATCAGCAGCAAGTGACGTAAAGAACCAGTAAGGCCCTCATTAAATCCCACTAACATACACAAACACCACTTTGGAATCCAGGTCATGCAATTCAAGTACTTCAAGTTTCTCTATGTTCTGCAGACACAGCCTAGCCTCACAAAACCCCGACATCGCAAGGACAGATGATAACATTTATTCCAAATGAATGGGGCACTTCATGCAGAAGTCAGAGCGCAGATGGATAACATTCCCCATGATAAAGAATGTGAGAGAGTAACTTTCAATGGCTCTGTTAGATTTGGCGTGGATAAGCACACTGAGAGACATCTCAGCATGAATCATCAGGATCAACCCCTGAGTAACTTATTGGACATGTAACATGATTCCCCTCACTTAAGACATAAGGAGACACTCGTAGGCCTACATCACCAGCTACTTTTCTGATCAATTTGCTGTATTCTATCTAAAATGAATCTTTAATTCTATTGGTGCTTTCTACAATTTTAAACTTCATATTGACAGCCTCCACTGTCTTTTCCTTCATACATATAAAAATACTATGATCATTGGCCTGCTTCATATTTCAGCTCCACAGTCTCCATAGCCTCAAAATACTTTCAGTCCATAAGCAGGTATGTCTACAGAATATCCGATGACCACTAATGGATCCCCATCATTAACCTAACACTAAGTGGACATGATTTATTACTAATGGAGTAATGTGCTTCTGTCATTGCCATTAATGGATTTTCCTTTTAAACTCATAATAAATTACTTTATCATTATCAACTTTTTAACGCGATTAATCAAGCAATTTAAAGGCAAAGGATCTGAATCTGAACTTCCATTGAAGAATCAAATGGATTATTGTTGAAATGACTTATGTAAATGACAATGTAAAAATTTGAATAGGACTAGAACAAAAAAAAAAAATTATATATATATATATATATATATATATATATATATATATATATATATATATATATATATATATATATATATATGCCCTTTCACCATTATTCGGTTTTACTCAGCAGGCTAACAAGACCATGGGAGACACTTTGAAAGATTAAAACAAGGACACCTGCAGACCAAAGCTACATTAAGGACAAAAGAGGCATCACACAAAAAAAAAAAAATACTGTCTTTTCTAAGTAGTTAACTGCTAAAGCTTGCTTTAGAAACAAACATGTTCAAAGGCTTCAGCTCCAAAAGGATCTCAAACCACCTGAACAGATACACAAAGTCTGATAAAAACCAAATCCTATCAAGGAACAAAAGGCAGACTGAAATTTGCTTTGCTATACCTATTCATGTGACTAGTTGGGATTAAATTATTGAATACAAGCAAAAAGGTATTTGATCAGACATCTAACACTATAACAGGTTTCCTAGTTTGCCTTAAAGGAATAGTACACCCAAAACATGATTAGCCTTCATTTTCTACTCACCCCCATGCTGAACAAAACTCTGGAGTACTTTTTTGATATCTCAAATGCATCTGGAGATCTGGGAGGCTTCTTGCTGTCTGCTGACATTCAAATAATGGAGGTCTATGGCGCCCGAGACAGAAAGGTCCACAAAAGTCCACAAAAACTTGTCAATATTCCTCCATACTGCTCGTCCAATGTAATCCAAGTGTCCTGAGTGGGTAGCATCCAGAATTTACTCGAAACGAAGTCATTTAGAACGTTTTAGAGCCTAAACAGTAGTGTATAGGATTTCCTAATAGCGCCCCCATGCGCGCTCACGATTCTACGGAAGCCGGCAGACCAAACCAGCGCATTCAGCTCGGCAAAGAACTCATGCTCTTCCTCAACACTGAAGTCCTCAGACATTTTTCTTTCGTTGTTTCTTTCTTTGCACAGGTAAACAGCACATTTCTTCTTCTACGCTTGCATTATCGGCAGACCAGACGCTGAATGCGCACTTTCTTCCGGTTTGGTCTGCCGGCTTCCGTAGAATCGTGAGCGCGCATGGGGGCGCTATTAGGAAATCCTATACACTACTGTTTATGCTCTAAAAACATTCTAAATGACTTCGTTTCGAGTAAATTCTGGATGCTACCCACTCAGGACACTTGGATTACATTGGACGAGCAGTATGGAGGAATATTGACACGTTTTTGTGGACTTTTATGGACCTTTGTCTCGGGCGCCATGGACCTCCATTATTTGAATGTCAGCAGACAGCAAGAAGCCTCCCAGATCTCCAGATGCATTTGAGATATCAAAAAAGTACTCCAGAGTGTTGTTCAGCATGGAGGTGAGTAGAAAATGAAGGCTAATCATGTTTTGGGTGTACTATTCCTTTAAACACACTCTCAAAGCGATGGCTAGCTTTTCAATCTTGTCAAGTGAAAGAACAGCAATTTCTCTATGACGAAATATAACAGAGTAATTTAGAGTGAACTATGAGAAAGATTATAAATGCTGTAGATGTGTTACAAACAGGTCCCACTTGTCCTTTCAATGTTTGTACTTTTGCTTAAGATATTTTGCATCACAAATCATAAAAAGGCCAGCTTCCTGCATTGAGGTAAACCAAGGTGTTAAACTACCACAATCTTTTTCC